CATTTGAAATCTCTCTAATGCTGAAAGGTAAGCACTCATTGAAGTACTCCATAAAACTGTTTCCCCAAAAAATCTCTTAACAAAATACCTTGATAGAAATAACCATAATTTAAAAAACAATAAAAGACCTTTAAAAACCTTGTCCTGGTAATACATTTCAATAATAAAGACTGTACAAATTAACGGAAGGAGAAAGCTTGAAAGCTTCAAGCTTTCCCCTATTCAAACATACTATTTTACCAAAAACGGCTGGTACCTCTGCAGTAGTGGCAAACAGAAGTACTGTTTGTCTACTGCCATTTCTTGCTTTGTGCAGTAAATCCATAACACAGTTCATCCATAAGTGAGTAATGAGGATATCAGCTTCATATTATATTAGCAAAAATATAGCCAAGAGGCTCAATGCTTTGGAAGCACAGAGAACATCTCTACATTCTCAGATTGTTTTGGCTTTTAGGGAATAAAGATATTTTATCCACAAGACCACTTTCACTTCTAGAGAAATTAACTTTTCACATACCAAGTAATGCTGATCCAAAATTTTAGTTTATGCAAATGCCCTTCTCCAAATTTGACAACTTTACATATAGTGATATTTCTTGCCACTGACTTCCAAGATTCTAATTCCAAAATCATGTAGGGATTAAAGCTAATGAAAGGATTTGTAAGAACCTGCATATCAGCCCCTTACCCTCTAACTTCCTCTACTGCTAAGCAAAGCATTAAATTCCAATCATCTTCAGAGACAGACTATTTAAGGCCTCCTTCCACTGCCTAGTACTTCAAAACAAATCAGAAACAGGAAACCACTCAAATCTCCAAGAACCTAAAGTCAGCCTACAGCCCAAACAGCTATAATGTAAACAATCCACTGAGAATTAATTTAACATAAACAGATCTAGGCTAGCTCGCAAGAAAACAAAAGCCATCTGTGATCACCATAGTCTGGATCTCAGGATACACCACCAGCTATCTCACAAGGCACACTGATAATCAGGTGCTGCACGGCATAGATGGGGACTCAGGCTAGCAAACACAAAAGGGCTTCCTATGCCAGGCTCCTTGCTAGCAACAACAGGAGGCAGAGAACAGCTTGGGGTGAAGAACAGAGAGGCAGACACACCAAGGTGGCAGTATATAGATGGAGCACATGTACGAAGAGCCATGGCACAGTCAAGAAATGTAAATTCCTGCAGGATTACTAAAGAACCAAACATTAAATTTACTATTTTTTCAGAAGAATGCGCTAAGTAAGTTAATCTTTGCAATTTTTCACCATAAAGAATTATAAAATATTTGCAAGTGAAGTATTTAGAGCTTGTCTTTTAAAGCAGAAATCAATTCTCAAGTTCAATATTTAACCACACAGCAAACCACTTATTTCCTACAGCAATTTTGATTTCAATTCATATTGCATGAAAAATAAGGTTCTAGACCAAATAGCTAGCTTTGTGTATTTTGTCTACAGTCCTTTCAGGTGCTTTAGATTGCAGTAAGTTTCTACAAGCTTACCTGCAAATAAGATGTCAGAAGGGGAAGTGGGAAGGGAAGAAAATCTGCTTCTTCCACTTTTTTCCTTCTTTATTATATATACATAATCTGACCTGGCCACTTGCAAAGACAGTTTTTTCCATTTGAAATACCAGAAACAGTAATTACTTGGCATCATAGACATTCTTTGGAAAGCTCCAATATGAGGAACTTGGAAAAGGATTTTATCTTTCAAACATAAGTGTTTTCTCAATTAAGGTCACTCGCGTATTTTCTGAATGCCATAAATGTGCTAGTTCTATACCAATCCGTATAGCTTTTCTTGACAAATACATATATAAAAATACAAGTTTTCTGTTAAAAAACAGGTATTACTAAAATATTTCACATACTCACAGACCAAATTTATTTTTATTACTTTGCCAGCTAACTACATTTTTCAGTCTAACAAAGTGATTGTGCCCCTGGTTTCATGCCTTCTGTACAAAAATTCCTGCAAGTACCTCAGTAGTAAGCATCCCTTTCCAAGATTTTCTGGAAATGACGCCTTCTAACTGATCTGCTTTAGGAAAGTGCAATGAGCCTGAGCCTGCAGGGTATCTTACAACATCCAGCTACAGTAATCTACCTGTAGAGTTTCAAGAGCTAAATTAAACTTTACTTCTGGCACTGTAATAGATCAACAACCCAAAGAAAAACTTGTTAAAAAAAAAAGCCTACCTACGTGGTAGAATCATTGTTTAGTAGAACATCCCTATTATACTCAGATTATTCTGTGGATCATGTTCTTTCCACTAACTCTAAGAACTTTTAATGTTAGAAATATGAATGCATATAAAACTGCTCCTCTTAAAACTTCTGATTTTTCCACCTTTGAGCACCATTTCAACATCCTTGTTTTCTAATCCTGCAGCCTGCTTTGGTAAGGGATTTGACACCTAGAACATTTACTGAAAACTTATCCCAGTTAAAAGCCCATACATGAGTGATAAAGACTAGTCATGGCTTTATGATGAAAAGAAGAGAACATTAAATAGACAGGCTTGAAGGGTTTTCCCTACATATGTACCAGGAAATTTTACACCTACAAATAACTACGAACAGAACTCTTGACATAGTGTGATCTAATTCTTAACATAGATGCAAAACTTACTCTATGTAAGCTCTGTGAGCCCAGTTCTTTGTAGTTCATATTAGTTCCACTGGGGAAATAAAAAGAAGCTATCAATTTTGCTCAGCCAGATCCATGACTACACTATAGGCTTTATCAGGTCAGGAACACTGGTAGAATCTAGTAACTGCTAGTGCAGTTGAACAGTCCAGTGAAGATGTTGCTGCAAATGAAGATGTTAATTCTTCATTCATACTTCCAGACTCCTCATTTTGAGAGGAAGGGCACTTCTTGGTTTGAGACCCAATATACTCATAATAAGATTAACAGCAAATAACTAATATCAGACTGGAATCTGCAACTAAAGCTGCACTAAAATGCTTTCCTTCTTGGAAGTACAACTCCCTCCTTATGTCACGTCTTCAGAAAATAATGGAACATTTTAGGAATTGTCTGTGCATACAGAAATACAGAAAACTGTTTTGGCAGAGAATTGCTAGAATGTTCGTTTCAAAGCTGTGCTCTATTCACACCTCCCCTCCCTAATCCCTCTTATGCATTTATAATTCAGTCATCATGGAACTCATTATGTCATTAACTCCATCACATAAACATTAACAGTAACTTGCTCAGTCTCAGAAATACTGGATTTCCCATATTTGATATCCTCTGAATTACAAAAAGGTTAGCTAAATTGGGCCACCTGTATCTAGTACTGCCTGTCAGTACACTCACCTAACCAGGAAAATATTAAATAGAATACAAGAGAAGGAATTAAAAAGAATTATCCTGATAAAATACCCTAATTTTTACCTAAACAGTCATCAGTTGCATTCTTAATTTTTCCCCTCTCTACATGTTTTTCTTATGGGCAAGGACCTAAACTGTATATAGAAAAGGAACAGAAAGGCAAGTATTTTTGAGAAAAAAACCCAAAAAAGATGGGCAAAAAACAAGAGCAGAAACACAAAGGGAAGCATACTTTCTGTTTAAGAGTCCAAGTAAACAGAAGTCATCTCTGATGCTAAGAAGAAGCTTTATAGAGCTGTATCAACTATCAAGAAAGCAAAACTAATTCCTTTAATAAGCAAAAATTGGTTTATCTCATAGTCCTTGATGTAGCATTTATGCGCTCTGTAGAGTTATTCACACAGGACTTGTCAACTTCAGTCAATAAATTATTTTGAGTAATACCCTGATGAAAAAAATCACTGAGCATGAAGAGGAGAGCACACTGAAACAGCATGTCAAGAATCAACAGTGCTGTGCTATTCTCCACAGAAAACCCTCCTTAGCCAATTCCAACTGATGAAAAGGTTTTAAGTGTTGCAGAATGAAGCTTGGCAACTTGCAATTGACAGAACACAAGATCCAGAACAGCAGCATGCACATGAGGATAAGGAACATATCACTGCCAGGTAGTTTTGCCAACACAAGTGAAAGCTGATGATTATTTTCCTTTTCATGAGGGAATGTCTACGCTAACTGAACAGTATAACTTACAACACAAAAGAAGATTTACCATTACCACCTCTGTATACCATCTACAACTCCATCTTCTAGATAGGTCACTGCACACAAACCGAGTATACGCTGTCAGACTAACGTAAACAACTGCATTTGAAACGGCGTCCTACCGTGACCCTCGCGATCTTCTTCACGCGTTTGTTCCTACTACAAAAGAAATCGATTACAGAGTGACAGGTAGCTCCTACAGAGCAACAACACCTGATCTCCCGTCGGGAAACGGCCCGGCATAGCCACGCCAACGCCCCGTACCGGAACCGAAAACGGAGGTCCGCGAGAGGCCGCGGTGCGGCCCCTTCACTGTCGGCCTCACCTCCTCCCGGGAACGGGCCACGCTCGGGGACGAACGGAACCTTCCCGCGACACCCGCGGAGAACCAGGAGCGGGGAGCGGAAGAAGGACCGCGAGCAGCAGCAACAAGAGCGGCCCCACGGGCGGCTGCGCCCGCTCACCCGCCCTGTTCCAGCGAGTGCAGGAGGCGGGGCCGTTCGCGAAAGCCCACCGCGATCCCGCCGCCGCCAGAGCGCTGGGCACGGGCGGCCACCTCTCACGGGCCGGCCCTCACGCCCGGGCCTACTTATTCCCCCAGCACCCTGAGGGCCGCGGCCCCGGGCAGACTCACCAGGGGGCTGCCGGTGCTGGCCATGGCCCGCGGGCCGCTCCCCGCGCCCGGACTCACCAGGGGGCTGCCGGTGCTGGCCATGGCCCACCGGGACCACTCCCCACCCGTTCCGCGCCAGGCGCTCGGCCCAACCTGAGCCAATGGGGCGCCCGCGTCCCCCGCCCCTGACGTCACCACAACAATCCCCCCGCCGTAGGCGGGCTTTCCGCGTACTGCGCTCGCTCATTGGTGGCAGTAGCTGTTACTCACACTCGGGCCCGGCCAGAGCGTCCCCCGGCAGCCTCAGCGCCTGAGCCGACGAGAGGATGCGCAGTTGTGGGATGACGCCCCCAGGAAGCTGCGTATGATGAGGGCGGAAGAGGGCGGGGCCGCCGGCAACGCCTCGCGCGGTGGCCGTGGCGGCAGCTCGGAGCTCAAGTGCGTCATAAATGCAATTTCGGTGCGGATATTCGCTCCTGAGAACCCGCCTCGTCTGCGTAACACCGCGGTCCCGTGCCCGTTCTGACAGGCTGTTTTCCCTGCGGTCCCGTCGAGCCCGCGGTGCCCGTTAGCCGCTTTCTGTCGGCCGCGGGGGCCGGGAGGGACGGGCCAGCGGTGCACGACGCTGCAGCGAACAAATTGAGTTTGTCAAGGAATTCCTAGAATTGTGAGGGATTACTCAAAAAGATGAGGCAGGAAAAGACCATCTAGTTTACTGAATATCAGAATCTACAAAATACAGATATTTAGCTTCCAGTTGGGGTGGCGTGGAGGGCCAGGGTAATCGCCGCGTCTCAGGGCTGATCCACTTTTTTCATAAAGATTTTTAAAGAAACCAGCCTAAATCAGCTTTCCTGTATGACAATTTTCTCATCCTTCTGCAGATGAGTAGAAAAATTGATCATAATCTTGTAGTAGGTTGGATGCATGGATCGGTGGATGTGTGTGTGCTCGTGTGTATGCCTTCTTTTATTGTAAGCCTACGTTTGCTATTCAGACTATCTGTATTTTAGGCCTCTCAGAGAAACTCTTCCAAGTACCAAAAGCTTGTGTGTAACTTAGGGCAGTAGTGCTGTAACTGTGTTTGTAGCTACTGAATGACGCTGTGATGGTTTTCACATATGTGAGATCAAAGAGATTATCCTGGCAAAAAGGCAGCTTCTTTTCCATGTGATCTGGTAAGAATTTTCTCTCCTCTGTTACAGTTTTGGGTCTAACTAGTCAGTATCATAATAGTTCACACAGGGGCTTGAGCAGTTGGATTTATGTTTATATCCTTGGATACTTTTATAAGGCTCAAAAAGTATCAGGCTCATCACAAAGCTAGTAAAATTTCTGGATCATACACAGCAAGTTTACAGCTATTTCAAACGTCATATTGCCAAGAGTTGTGAACACAAAGAAAAGGAAGGAACCAAAAATATCAGACTTGCAAAAATACTACATGACTACTCAGTTAAGCTGTGTGTATCAAGGCAGTTCTGTGCAAACTCACATCCTGTTCCAGCAGGGCTTACTTGGGCACATATGATACTCTGATTTAGCTTCCCTGGGCTGTGGATCATCTGTACAGACTATTATGTGTATTCCAGCATGGATGAGCCAAGGCAAACACAAAGCAGGCAACAGCATCACTATAGGCAATTTGCTGGGTTCTGCTGCTTAATATCAGCAAACTGTAACATTTTCCTTTCTAGGAAAGCAAATGGTGCCTTTAGAATAGAGGTAATAAAATACACAGTAGCATTTAAAGCTATGAAATATCAATATCTTGTGTAATCCTTCGAGATGACAATGCTGTAGAGTCCAATGGCTTCATCTGGCAGAATTTAGGGTACCAAACCTGCTGGAAAACTTGGACAGTAGATATTTTTATCTCCTGTTCAGTTGAAAACAAACTGAGAAAATAAAATTAGTTAGGAAAGGGGACAACCACAACATCTGCACGTTTGTCATCAGTCTTGGGAAAAAGGGAGAGTGAAGGCCCATTACTGTTCAGGAAAGGAAGTGAATGGTACATAATGTGTAATGGGTTGAAGAATAGAGCACACCATTTTTCTTCCATTGAACAATCTAGTTTTAACAATGAAGATAATATTATTAATTTCGACAAGATAATAGCACACAAAAAATCTGAGTTGAAGTCCTTAGCACATGTGTTAAATTCTGTAGGAACAGATGAAATTTGCCCTAAAGTTTTGGGGTTTTTTTAGAAAATGAAAGAAATCAAAAACACCAAAACCAAACAAATAAACAACCCCAAAGAAAAAACCCAAAGCAAAATGTAAATAACTGAAGCAGTCTCTGCAATGTTAAAAGAGACTTGTTGGGGGCTATCCAAACTAGCTGAGAAGCCATTTCTGAGAAGCCATTCAAGGAACCTAGAGGACTTCAGAAAGATAGTGTCTCATCTTCAAATGTAGGAAAGGTAAGGCGCAAAATAATGCTACACCAAGTGGATAAACACAGAAACAATATAACTTCCATCTTTGACAAGAAAGTTTACTTGCTGCTAACAGGGTAGGTAGTATATATTTTGACTTTGCTAAGATTTTTGACACAGTTCAATTTTAAAGGAATACTAAGGAAGCTAGTTGACCTAAATGGTAGTAGCTAGTCTTGTTAATGAACTATTAAATTTTTTGATAATGCATTTGAGTCTAATCATTAACAGTTCCTTGTTAAAGTGGAATGGCATTTCAAGGGGCATTCCAGGCTCAAACTTGGTCTGATTCAATATTTTCATTAGTTTTGGTAATGAAATAGAAGTATGTATACAAGATTTGTAGGAAGGACTTTAGTCACTTGGGGAGACAAAAATGAAGAGGAAGAATATTTTGATATATTTGAAATACACTCTAATATGGAATTAGAGTGCAAAGCAAAGCATTTCAAAAAAGAAAGCAAATGTATTAATATAAATTCTGAAATAATAATTTGCTAGCAATATATTGAAATAGGATGTGAGAGCTACAGGGTACCAGAATTTACATAATTAATTAATAGTTAGTTACTGCAAATAAATACTATTTTAACATGTGATGACATATAGAATTGGAGAACGGCAGCTAGTACTTCTTTCATTCTTCGTGTAACAAACGAGGATGCGGTTGAATAAGTATATCCAAGTCTAGGCATGATGCGTTCAGGAAGATGTGAGGCAGTTGGAGAGAATCGGGGGAAGGAAACGCTGCCTGGGGGGGGGACGGGAGGAACCGTCCGGGATCCGCCAGCGGGGGGCAGCCACGGGCCGAGGGGCATCGTGCTGGGCCGGGGAGGGGGACCCTGCACAGGGGATGGGGACCCTGCACAGGGGACAGGGGGACACTGCACAGGGGACAGGGGGACACTGCCCCGGGGATGGGGACACTGCCCCGGGGAGGGGGACACTGCACAGGGGACAGGGGGACACTGCCCCGGGGATGGGGACACTACACAGGGGATGAAGACACTGCCCCGGGGATGGGGACACTGCCCCTGGGGATGGGGACACTGCCCCGGGGAGGGGGACACTGCACAGGGGACAGGGGGACACTGCCCAGGGGATGGGGGGACACTACCACATCCACCCAAGGGGACTATCCAAAGTACCTGAAGCCCGCACCCAGGGGCCATACAGGAAGCAACACAAAAACAGAACTGAAGGCAAACTTTGTTCCTCAGACCTGGATGGAGGCTAGTAGAGCCCCCATGCCCTGGGCAGTTTATGTGAGTAGAAGTCCCAGGTGAGACAGAAAAATCAAACCAAACCAAACAAACCAAACAACCCCCAAACACACCACCAAAAAGCATACCTACAATTCAAAATCTTTGTCACAGAACATTTCCAGCTCCTTAGTGGCTTACAAGCACTACTTAAATATCTTCCAAAATAGTTTATTTTGGCAAAACTCAACAGAAGAAAAAGGGGGAAATGCTGTCTACTTTGTTCTGGTTGCAGGTGATACGTACAGCATGTGCTCAGTAGTCCCAGGATATGAAAGGCTTCACAGGTTTGACCATAGCCAGTATTATGTCTCCTTATTAGAGACATAATATTAGAGATTGTAGTTCTCTATCTTCCACTGGAAGGATATGTATCACTCTTAGGGGCAAAGGTCAGCCTTAGAATTATTCAGAGATTCTGGAAGAAGCTGTGAAAAACCATAGCTTGAACCTAATACCAGTCTTAAAAAATACACACGCACACACAGACACACACATACAGACAAAAAGGGGGGAAAAAAGAGGGGAGGCTATAATTTGCTTTTTTAGAAAATGTGTAGTATTTCAGTGGTTGATCAAAATGAGGCTTTGCTTTTCCAAAGACCTCATTGTAAGGAAGAGGCATTTTGGTTTTAGCTCCAACAACTAATATTTATAAGTAATTCCATAAAAGCAGAAGCAGCTAAAAGTTTTTAAGAGTTTCAGTTGGAGAACTGCTGATGCTGGAATATAATTTCAGCCTTTTAACCATCAGCCGTCATCATCTGCAGACTCAGTTCTTATAGTCTTCCTATCTTGCCCTAATGGACACAAGCAGCCCAGTCTTTGACTTTTCATTTCTCTCAAGTAATTTCTGACAATTCAATCTCAGTTTTCTTTTGCTTCTCTATTAATGAAGACTACCTTAATGCATTCTCCCTTCCACAGAAGTCTGACCTGCTTCTTCTTACTTGTATCTGAATATAATTGTTCCCACTCTCATTTTGCTAATATAGCTGGTACAGAATACCTTATTAACAAAACAAGATTTTATGAAAATGGTTATATTTCTGTGCAGTCACGTTCATAAGAAAGGGGGGAACCCACCTCGTCTGCGAGGTTCTTGTCTGCCAAGAACTGATGAATCTAAGATACAATTGATCTGACAATTTCAAAAAGCGTCCCTCAGATTCTGAATATTTGAAATTTGGGACAATATATCAAACCACACTATGGGGTATAAAAGTTTGGGATCACCAAAATCCTCCATGTACGTGGATTTGTTTTACTGATTTTCTCATCCTGGGGAAATAACGGCAACTGTTAATGACAGCAACATCATGTTCTTCTCTTGCCACTAGATTGTGGCAGAATAATAGAAGCACCCTTGAATATAGTTTGTGTAAGTTAAAAAGCACCAAGAATCAGAAATGGGATATTTTTTCAGGGATCAGAAAAGCTCTTTGCTTACAACATTGAAAACTAATCACTGCTATCACCTGTGGATGTCACACAAATCAGATATTAGGTCCTCTATCTGTTCCTGTTTTTCTCACAGATGAAGACTGCTCACAACAGTTTAGCACACTTTTTGGGAAGGATGTCTCGACCCACTTTGTTTCTTCTACATGAAATCTTTCTTTGCCTTGTCAAAACTAATCTGTGCTCTCACCAGAGAGACAAGGGAAGCACTCCAAAGAGGAAGGAATGAATGTATGTTTATATAGATGTGTCAGCTAGTTTGGATGTATGTGTACATATCTCAGTGTGCTTGCTAAAACTGTTGAGCCCATTAAATCTAAGAGATGCAACTAAGACTCCAGAAATCTGCTTGGTAGATTATTAATCACGTATAGGATTTTCTGTGTCTCGGGCAGAAAGTAAACCTCCAGAGATTGAGCTCACAAGAGCTGTACCTGTTGTGCAGATAGGCAAAGGACTCATGAATTCTGGAGAAATAATAGAAGCTCTGGAGAGGCAGTGGACCTGGCCTGTACTGTGATTAAGTAAAGGTCATTTGTGCTGTTCTTATTTTTCACCTTTTTTTCCATTAAATCAGCCCAGCCACTTAACCTTGAAATAAATTTTTGTTAAAGCAGTACATGAGGCTTAGTTATTGCAAAATAAAAAGTTACAATCATTCAAGATAATAAAGAACAAGGCCTACTGTTTGATTATCTTTAAACAGAGCAATTACAAATTCTGATCAAATCAGGAATCCCTTTAATTCATCAATATCATGTTAAGAAGCAGAATTACTTTCTTAAGCAAAAATAGTTTCTCATGATTTTGTGAAAAATCATGCATATTTTTTACAAAATGATGGTGTTTAAATCATGGCTCATCACATTGAAAATACTGCTGCTTCCAAGGGGCACACAACTGTAATAGTTCTTCCTGAGGAAAACAGCAGGTCTGCTGCTGCCTCCTTAGACAAGAGGGTTACTGGATCTTGCAGCCAGGAGGTTAATTTAGGGAATTAACCCTAGCCTGTAGGGGTAGTATTTGCTAGACAGGGGACATAGTCACAATCTTCTTCTGAAGTACAGAAGTTGAGGATGTTTTAAAATTATACATGTTTGAAACTGTCTGCACAGTCACCATTTGTGCCGCTTGGGAGGACAGTTTTGGGAGGTGATAGGAGAGCACAAGGAACTTTGTAGGCAGTATTCCTCAGGGAAGGTCACTGATCTTTCTGATGTTTAACATGACTATTGCAATTAGAAAGCTTCAGTAGTTCAGCAGAAATCAAACCTCCTGTGGTATCATTGTCACACAAAGTACAATAGTCACTACCACTGAAAGACACATCTTTTATCTCCAAAGATTCTCGAAGCATAAGAAAGTCACCCTTTCCATGCTGTGAGTGAGAAGGATAATTCCTTCCAACACTAGGGCTCTCAAGGTTGTCTTTAATTATTTCAGAGATTTTTGGGCCAATGTTATCATCAGCATGGCTTGGTGCAAACAATAGTCCCGGCCACCTCTCTATCTCTTCTGCTCTTATGTACTTGCTGGGGACATACTGATGGCTTGGACCTGAGGCAAATGCAAAGTTTTCTTCTGCAGTAGCCACATCTGTGCTTCCTGTAGGTTTCCATGAGATTTGGGAAATCAGTTCTTGGGTGTTTAGATCAGCAACTCTATCTGCATTCACTTTGCTTGAATTGCTGGCCTCTTCTCTTTCAAGTTGGCTACAAGCCTCATTCAGTCCAACCCAGTCCTAATGAAAGCATCAATGAGTTGGGGTCATTTTGTATAGTTATTACAAAATAACTTTTCTTTCTTTATATGGCTTTGGCACAATAACCCAGGTGTTTAGTGCAAATCCAACAGGCAAGGTTAAAATAATAGGATAAAAACCTAGCAGCTAATTTCACAAAATTTTACAAGAATTTTTGCAAGATTACACCACTAGAATATAATGCAAGCTGCTGGTGTTGCTTTGCTTTTGAAAAGGTGCACCTTTTGCATTCAGTCTGAGCTGGGAGCCACTGGAGGAGTTCCACTTCTAAGGAGCAAGAGGCTGGACAGAAGCTCTGGTGGTTAGCTACTATGTGGACGGAGTAAAATGAGAAACTATAAACTTTCCAGAAGATCAGAACCATGTGTCAGTAACTCTGCTCAGAAGCTAGAATTATTAATCCCTGAAAAAAAAATCCTTCTGTCATGAGTGGAGGTGCATAAGAAAGAAATGAAATTTATTTCTTACCTTAAAATTCCCATTGTGCAAACTATAGAGTGGCTGAAAGAAAGCAGCTGGTGTGGGAATGGTAAAGCAGGTGAGGCTTTTTGCCCTAAAGTGAGAAAACAACACTCAAAAAAAAATATAGTTTTTCTGTGTTCTGTCTCCATGATACTGGTTAGATGAACCCCACCCCACTTATGTTAGTAAGATTGCACAAGAAGCCCACTCATCATAATTTCTGACTTCTCACGCAATTATTTTTCTGCCACCTGTGTATGCATTTCATGTTTCTAAAGCACAGTCTCATAAGTTTCTGAAGCACAGTCTCATAAGTTGCTTTGGAATATGTCACAAACTTAATATACTGGTCTATTACTCATTATATACACTGAGCCATTTAAGCATTTGTGTATCAACTTACATGATCTAAACCACTGTTTCTGAAAGTGTTTTAAAGAGTTGTAGTTTCATTACATTTAAACAGGGAAATTCTGCCAAACATCCTTACCCCTTTATTGCAGTCTATCCTATAAAAATATTTTATCATGTGGACATAATGTATTCTGTTTCTCTAAGAATGATGTGTATATGGACCATAATAATGTATGTCAAGGTAAAAAAGAAGGAGGTACTTATGCTCTGCCAGCATAAAAAATTGCAGAGGATTGTTGAACCAAGGTTCTAAAACCACTTTTTTCTCTGTACAACTTGGTCTCAAATGAAACAGTTGGTTTGTTTTGCCTATATTGGTATTTTACCTACTGACTCCTGCCAGGAATATCACATGTAGCTTAGCATTGACATCAGTTTAACCGCCTTTATGGGTTACTGTGTACTTGCACTTATAATTTATTTACATGAAACTTCAAATATTTCCATGTGCTTAAATTTCTTTAAGATACCGTCATTCTTGGACTTCAGCCAAATTTGGGAGTCCCAAAGGTGCTTTGGTCTCCTTAAGGACTGTATAATGGGTCATTAACTATCATCACCTGAGGAACATGTCACATTCCAAGATTGTCAGAAGACCTTTTGGAAATGACTGAGTGTGTGCAGCAGAAACAGGAAGGAAAAGGAATATAACGACTCTTGATTTACCGTTTTCAGGCCATAAAGATCAAGGGGAACTTACTGAAAATCACATACCTTGAGGAAAGCTTGCAGTTCCAGAATAAATAGAGTAGAGTGCCAAAACTCAGTGGAATGAATAAGTACTGTATAATTTTGATATTTAGAATCTTTTCAGAGACTTTTGGGACATCTAGGAAAAGAATCAGCACAAAAATTTTTAATAAAAATTCTGAAGTCAAGATAGAACCCCAAATAACCAAGGACTACAAAAGAAACAGGCAGCTAAAGGCCTTAAGGAAAATAATTTGGCTATGAATACTTGAAGAAAGCTAGCTCTGATTTGAAAAACTTCATTTTACCATATATCTTCTTTTTTTTTTTTTTTTTTTGGAACATGGACATTCAAAGAAATGAAATGAGATGAAAACAACATTCTTTGTACCTGCTCTTTGAAACACTGTTGTCTGGCTCCACTCACTCCATTGACTGTGGTATGAATTCTCGTTTTCAGAAACTTTGCAGCGAACTCTTGCAGCATAAGCAATGCCACTGCGAAGCTCTGTGGCTTCAATTTCTACTTGTGGCAGTGAACTGGGTAGTGTCTTGTTCATTGCAACCTGTCAAGTATTACAAAGCATTGCTGTTAGTGAGATTGGGCAAAAGGATGGTCTTTTGAATACTTTTTTTTTTGGTTGGTTTTTCCCTTTTCTTTTCCATGTTTTCTTTTCTTAGATGAAAGAAGAGGGCCTGAATGATGATGCAGCGTTCATAAGAAGAAGAGTTATTGTACTTCAGTATTGATGTTTAATGTAAAATCTCTCAGCCTTAATATGGGAAACCAGAAAGGCCATCTTAAGTCAGCTGGTGGAGCTCACTGGCAAGGCCATTGTACACAAAGAAAAAGGTAGGATCACTGTATGTCTCGTCCAGTTACCTCCCAGGACATGCTGTACTCCTTATACTGCAACTCATACTGGAGAATTTCAGCGAGGTACCAAGGCACATTCCACACACTCCACCATATCTGGCACTTGCTGGCAGTGGCATTGCTCTGGATGTTCAAAGGTGGATCAAGTTTTACTGGAAATAGAGGAGATGGGGTTTTTTTACAGTGTTTGGGACACCACAAAAGAAAAATGCATGACATTAGGGTGACTGAAATGGAAGATAAAGCTGGGTCTAAAGAGGGATACTAACACTAGCAGTAGATCAAGTTAGCTTACAGCATCAGAACAGCTACAGATCTGACATAAATTAATGATAACTCCAGTAGTTCCTAGGGCTAATCTTGCAAGCAAAGAATGGAAATCACATTCTGCCCTTACAACATACCACAAATACGGACAGGTTTTGAGCATTTCTCCCTGGTACCAGGCCATGGGACCCTCAGTTAAAACCCATGATTCCTCATTACATAATTTCTTAGAGAAAAATAAAACAACAAAATGAACAAATAATTGAAGCAATCCAGCAAATTACTTGGGGCACAAAAAAAACGTGATGCAGATGAGAAGTATTGTTGGATGGTGCTCCAGAGCCAGCCCCTCTGAAGTCCAGGAAAAGTCAGGATGGAGAGACTCAGCGACTGCATCCTCACTGGTGCAGTTCACACAGCACACTCTCTGCGGATGGACATCTTGATTGTTTTCATTGTTTTCCCTTGCTGTCCTTGAGACAGCCTTTGTTAGGCAGCATATCAGACCTATCCTGAAGCTGCTGGGCAGAGCCTCAGCTCACAGCTGTCCTAGTTCATACTTACTGTGCTTGCGGGGAGTGTACTCTGGAAAGATCATGTATGTCTGATTACATCCAAAGAAGTTTCCTTGGAGAGAGACTCTATAACCGTCAGTTTCCAAGATCTGGCTGGCTAGATGAATTGTGCAGTGGTACTGATTCTGCATGTTCCCTGTGGCAGTCAGTTTGCAGCTGGCGTTGTGGCCCTTTGACCAGAGGCTAGAAGAATAAAAAGGCTGAAAGTTTCTTTTAAGTCATACAATTAAGTGCTTTTCTGTTTATGCATATATGGCACCTTAGCGCAGCACCACACTCTGGAAGACCATGAACTTCATTAGTGCAGAGAGGAAGCAAACCAGCAATCCAAGTGCTGGATGGGTGGCAGGGCTGGATAGGAAGACACCTTTATAACCTTACTGCTTAGAGCACCAGATCTCACAGGAGTTGCACATAGCATCCAGTAGCTGTTCCCTGCTCCCTCTGAAAGTGAGAGAGTTGCTGTCACTGCAGGAAAGCAGGTGGGTAGGGGGAAGGAGTGGATGGACAGTTGGTTCCAAGTGCATAGCACAGAGGTAACAATAAGCTGTACATTAAGTCCTCTTTCACTAGAAACAAACCAGTACTGACAGCAAAATGTGTTAGAAGTTGCTTTTCTTTTTGTGGTTTAGCCATTCATTAGCAATTTTTTCACATTGCATGTGATCCCACAGGAAACTGGGATATCACAGTTTATCAGCTTGCCCATCTTTCCATAGATTTAAAATCCAGTATTAATAACAGTTAGGCTATTTTTTACTTAACCGTAGCAGAATATAAGGCATCTAATGTCAGAGTGGCTTACCCTCACATAATAGCTACTGGTGGTGAAGCCAATGTTTCTACATAACCTAAACACATTAAACTCAAGTTATCCTATCAGTTAGCAAACTATTAATCTGATTCCTTCTATTAGAGGAAAAACTATTTAGATAATATTCTATTATTCTAGTAATCTATTAATCTCTTATTAAAGCTTATAACTGAACTTATATTTATATATTTACTAATATACATTAAACCATTAGATGTTTAATTTCTAGGCAAAAAAGAAAAGAAATTATTAGAAGTTGATTAGACAGGTTTACATAGGATGGGCTCTGGAAGTTCCCAGGTCATGGGGACCCAGAGGCCAGGAAGGAAAGGTTCTCTGCTCTGAGATGCCTGCCAGAATGGTTTGCTGAACAGATGGAGAGCCCACAGCTGACAGGAGATCATGTGCACTTGACTGCTGTGGCCCCTGAGGCTGTGGGACCAGAGTAGAGAGCAGCTTCTAAGGTCTGGGGTGGTGGGGTGGCAGAGCTAGCTGCGCCACAGGTCTCCTGCCGTGGAGGGAAGAAAGCCCATAGCTGGGCTCCATCTCTGCTTCTCAGTGCTGTCCTGTCCAAGCCAGAGCTGGGGCTGCCACAGACAGCTCTTGGTGTGCAGCTCTTACTTGGTGAAATGCAGGTGGAAAGGTCCATCACCCATGGGCTTCTCTGTTACCCACATGCAGCTCACAGTAGTCACGTAGTTATTCAGGCAGCTCAGGCTGCCAGAGAGCTCTGCAGAGGAAGGAGACCAGAACTGGATTCATATATCATTGGATGATGCCTTGCTCAGCACACTAAATAAATGCATTGCTTGCTAGTACTTCCTTTGCTGACACTGCATCAGGTCTTCCTCATCCTGTTCTTACTCTGTTGTAACACACTTCAGTGCATGAGATGAGTGTAAGATCTTAGAGCAGGGACCTTGGGCAGTGGCTACACTTTTTCTGGTGCCCAGCTTGTCCAGTATGTGGTCAGTCCCCTAGGCCTGGCATTGTCAGCCAGCTGTACTGGCTCCTGGGACAGGGCAGTCACAAGATCTTGGATTGCATACTGAAGGGTCTGTGAATGAAAAATGAGCGCAGGCATGCACCTGTCTTTGTACAGTGGACATATTCCAGATCTCCTCTTACCTCTCCCTCTTCCTCCACCAAAGAGCAGTGCAGCAGCAATGCACAGCTGGAGCCCCAAATGCCACACAACTCCTCCCATTCCAGATGGTATCTAGAACAGAATAATCGTTAAGAGCAGTTTTGTTGGTATTTCTACCAGCAGGTTGAAGCATTAGCTGCATGCTTCTCCAGCCTGACAAAGCTGATCCTGAATCTGTCAGAGAAGGCACCAACTCAGCTATATAATTTCTTCTATAGGAACTGTTCTTCTCATAGTAGTAAATAGTACTTTGCACTAAAGCACCAGCTGCCTGAAAGGAAATCTACAATCCCTACAATTTTATCAAGGGTGGGAGAAGGTGTGGGTGTTTTATTTTTCTTTCTTCCTACATTTTTGTCATCTGGTTTGTGACAAATGAAGAGCAGCAGAGAGCCACAGGATTGGAAGCAATGTCCATGTTTCCCCAAATCCTGTTTCTGATCACAGTCAAAACCAGATGCTTAGAGAGCATCGTAGCAATAGAGCATTGCTGTTCCTCTCTGAGCATTCTCAGCCTCTGGACATTCGCAGCTCAGGGGCCTCCTGGAGCAACGTTATTTCGCGTATTCCGAAAACAGACACAGAGAATAACTGATATGATCCTGGTCAAAGCACTCTTTGGGAGATATAGAATACTTAGGGCCTAGTCATTACCCCAATTCACTGAAGGGTTGTGCAAGGATGTTTGAAGAGTATCTTCCACAATATGGGACTCTACATCTCTACAAAGTTATAGTAGACTCACTCTCTTTTTAACCAAAAAAATTCAGTTTTCTGAATTGTCTCCTGATGAAGTTTTAATTTAAAATTATACTTTTTCACTAAAAGTTTCCGATTTGATGATTTTATGGCAACAGTTAATATGAAGAATATGGACATGATCTATTTAGCAATATGTGGTGTTTTAAAAAGATGTTTCCAGTTTGCATTATTTGCTGTTACCTGAACACAACACATGAGCCCAGCACCACTGCAAGGAGAGGGCTGCTCCAAAGAGCCTGAAATCCAGAAAACTTGGAGTGATTTTATAGACAGAGACCATTAATCAGTATAAACAAAAACAGTTTCTTGAAAGTTAAAAAAAATATTGAAGGAACAATGTTTGCACTACTTGACTAGCACAGACACTGAACTGAGCTTTATAACTGGGGTGACAAGAGGATGGAATGTTCAGTCTCAAAAGAGCTTGGGTTATTATAAGAAAAAAAAAGAAAAAAAAGAAAAAATACCAAACAAAACTTGCCAGAGATTATGATCTCTCTTTCAGAAGAAGCTGGGGAGAAGGGAAGGAATGTCAGGATAGGAGAAAAAATAAGTACAGTATTAGCACAGGACCAAGTGTATATAGCCTGACTATAGAATAATATTGTGATTTCTAACCAGCAAAGGATCTGAAGCAGTCTTGGATAGAAGTGTGCAAAAAAGCCTATGCTTAGCAAGGGCTGTGATATAATACTCACTAGGATTGTTTTACTGAAGAGATTAAGCGACCTGATCCATGACCAAGAATATCCTTCCAGTCATGAATTTCACAAAGCTAGACAACAGCATCCAGGTATAACTTCTTGCATGTGGTTATGCCTGTCTATAGTTTCCCTTGTCTGAATTAAATTGTAAAATAATTACGGTGTTTTTGAAACTGATCAAGAGAAAAGGAGTATTTCTGGCTTTCACTTCACCACCTCTTCAGTTATGGGCTTTTCATAAATATCCTGTTTTACTGTAGACTTTCTTCAGGGTGGGGGTTGGTGAGAGGAAACGTCACCATTAGCTGATTTTGGCTGGGAGGCTTGAAGTCTCTAGTGCTTATCATTCTAATCAGGTTTGCTTATGGTCCCTGTGATAAATACAGTAATACTGACTAAATATGAAATAGAGAGAGCTGCATTAAGTAGAATTATTCATGTGCTTACAAGAACTTGTTCAGGCACACAAACAAATAAACAAACTTAGGTCAAGATAAGTAAACCAGGACAGAATGTTTCCAGGTAATTGCTACTAATTTGATAAACTCCCCCCACTCCCACACAAGAAGTTCTGTGTTCAGTTCTGCAATGTTTGAAATGTGTTAGACATTTCTGGCTCTCTGGCTCTCCTGGAAATAAATGCAACATGTTTAAATGCAAATTTTTGCGTTAGAAGCCATAAACGTTAGTCATAATTAGGTCACGGAGCACTGAATTCTGAAAGACTTACCAGAAAATAATTTCAGGAAGTAGCACATAACCAGCTGAATGAGATTCTGCAGTACATTAATACAGTTAGAGGAGCTAACATGCAGACTGTGGATACATATCAATTAAAACAAAAGTTATTGCAGCTACATGTAGCATTTGAAACACAATTAATTTATTCTGTTGGAATCAACACTTTAAACAAAAAAATGCTGTCAATATGAAAATGCTTCTGAAAAGGGAGATGTGAGTGATTTAGTCCTGGATAATTTTACTCAGAAATCAACAATTACAGACCAAGTAAATCTCTTTAACTTAGCCAAAGGAAAGGCTAAGTAGTCATTTCACCAGCCATAAGTATCTTACATGAGAAGATGATTTCAGGTAGGAGAAAAGTACTTTCTTCTTTTTTAAATATACAAGAGAAATATGAAAAAGTCCAGTAGTTGGACACTGAAGGTAGATACAATTATACAGAAATGAAGAATTTTTACAAAGGGGAATTATCTTTATTGCTGAAACCTCTTGCCTAAACATATGCAAGACTTGTCGTCTTCCTATTAGCACAGATGGAAGCCCAGTACTAGCAGTGCAGGTACAATTACAGCAGTTTCTAGCAGTGGAAGACAAATCAGCTTCTTAGCTGGATGTCTTGGGGACCAGACTTGCTGAATTCTTGTGTTCTAATGTCCAGTTTCTGCAGCACTGCAAAGTTGTGGGTGAAGGCAGAGAAGCTGTATGAGAACTAGTGTCAAGAAAGGAGAACCACCTTCACTCTGCAGGAAAGAGACAACATTTCTGAGATGATGCCCTGAAATGGTACATCAGATATGCTGCCAGCAGTCTGTCAGCACCAGGAGGTGGTAGTGACCTTGATTTCCAAAGTGGTCTCAAGCTGGTTGCAATGGTGTTTCCATCCTTGCTGTATGTTTTCAGGGCAGAATTCTGCCTGTTATCTGCTCAAGGAAATGAGGCCTTGTATCTGTGCCTTTCCCCTTCCCTCCTGTGGTTCCTGTCTCCAGTTCCCAAAAGCAATTTTAAGTAATTTTAACCAGAATTTGTACAACACAGATTTTCCAAATGGTCTCAACTGCTTATTAACAGAAAAACAGATAACTGACTGTTATTGCTAAATCTGTCACCAGAAACTAATATTCTGGGATTTACCCCCAGATTTGGGATCCAGTTGAACACACAATAAAAATATAACATTTTCTCATAAGAATGTATAAGGTAAAATAAATTATTTGACAGATACCACTGAGAGAGGAAGTAGTGCAAGCAGTTGACAACATAGTTTCAGCATGTGGGTAGCCTAGATATCATCTAGGTTTCAGAAACTCTGCAAAGCAGAGCTTTACAGGGAGACTTGAAGAATGAGGCTGATGTAGCCCAAAAGAATTGTAAGCAGTATCTTCAATGTGTAAGCAGAAGCCTGGAGGATGATTAGGAGAAGTAGATTTAATGATCTAGTGGGAGGTAGAAGCTGACATCATAGAATTAACTTCTAGGTAGGGAAGTGAGAGATGACAAGAAGAGGCTGTCAGTGACTTTAAAAGTGGGAACAAGAAGCTTATGCTTGACGAGCTAGAGAAAAGAGATAGAAGAAATGTACAGATAAATGTAATGAACTCAAAGGAATGGACATAAAATAGGATTTTTGTGTCTCTGACTTTTGGATGGCTACAAGTACGATCAGTTTTACAAAAGCTTGATAAAACCTGAAGTATCATATAAGAGCATGAGCAAGGATTTTGCATGGAGATATGTGCATAAGATTCTTCAATATGCTTGGATATCCTTTGAACATATGATATTATATTCCAGCCCACAGCAGACAGCTGGGAGTTCTAGGTTTTATTCCACTTCTGACATCAACTTTTTTATAAGGTCTGTTGATTAATCAATGAAATTTTTTCTTGTTGCAGCTCATTCACATGATCTTGTATGCTCACCTAAATCTTAGAGGAAGTCAGAAGCTTCAGGCTCTGATTTGGCAGTGGCTCTGGACTCTTTCAAAAGGTGTTTCCCATGTTATCACTTCCAGAGCAAGATTCTGATGTTGACAAGACACTTGACAAGGTCTAGCAATGCATGTTGGCAGCCCAGAAAGCCCGTTGTATCCTGGGCTGCATCAAAAGCAGCATGACCAGCAGGTTAAGGGAGAGGATTCTACCTCTCTACTCTGCTTTTGTGAGACCCCCACTTGCAGTACTGTGTCCAGTTCTGGGGTCCTCAGAATGAGAAGGGCATGGAGTTACTAGAGCAGGTCTAGAGGAGGCCACAGAGACGATCAGAGAACTGGAGTCCCTCTGCTATGGAGACAGGATAAGAGCTGGACTTGTTCAGCTTGGAGAAGAGAAGGCTCCAGGGAGATCTTAGAGTCCCTTCCAGTACATAAAAGAGCTGTAAGAAAGCTGGAGATGGGCATGTAGTGATGAGGCAAAGGGGAATAACTTCCAACAAGCAGAGGCCAGGGTTACATGGGGTATTGTGCAGAAATTTTTCCCTGCGAGAGCAATGAGACACTGGCACAAGTTGTCCAGAAAAGACATTCCTCCCCCATCCCTGGAGGTGTTCCAGGTCAGGTTGGATGGGGCTTGGAGCAACCGGTCTAGTGGAAAGTGTTGCTGCCCATGGCAGAGGGTTTGAAGATCCCTTCCAACTGAAGCTATTCCAGAATTCTATGATATGATGAGTGGTGCACAGTGGGAGCAGACACAGCAGATCTGGACCCTTGAGTGCTCAGTTTCCATTCCTTACATCTTAGCAATTAGTCATAAATGACCTGCTCTCCCTTGGCCATAATCCCTACCTTTGCTTAGGTCTCTTCCAGAGGCAGGGCCAACAGGCACTGAAGAAAGGCAGGACACTGACTAGCACCTACAAAGTGAAACAGTGTCAGGCAATAGCATATCTGTACCAACAGGTACACTCCTTCATCCACTAAGATTACCCAAAGTGCAGAGTCACCAGAGCAATCTGTCATGCTAGTATGTGTAATAGGAGGGGTACACATTGCAAACCATCATCCCTGCCTATAAGAAAAGGCAGGTCCTTTAAGAAAATTAGTGATACCTTATCTACCTTCTGAATATCTAGGCCTCTAAGCACACGTCTTGCAGAAACACATCTAATGTGCTCAACAGGCTCACATGAGACTTATCCTGGGGAATAAGGAAAAAGTAGTTGGATTTTCTTATCTGCATAGATTATCTGAGAGAACCCCATATAACAAGCCTTTTTCTCTCTTAATCTTTGGAGAGCCATTTTCCCAACAATTTGATGCCCAAAAACAGCCACGTACTTTTAGATGTGATATACTTGGATCCCAGAAAGAAAGCTGCTACAAAGGATGACTACAATAAAGCAATATTCATACACACATACACATACATTAAAAAAGTATGTTCATGTCTGCAAAGTCCCAAACACTGAGGACTATTTTGGCTGGATTCCTTTACATTCATCTCTTGTAGTCAGAGAGGAGTACCTTGTTCAAGATGGCCCTTCTTTCAAGCACAATCCATCAGAATTATTGCAATAGTGGTGTTTTGTGCTCAGCAAACTGTCAGAACAAAAGTACAGAGACACTTTTGTTCTTCAGGCTCCTAGTTCAAGAAACAGTATAGAATTCCACATTTAGATAAAGAAAATATTTTTCAATATTTTGTTCAGTAGATGTCCCCTAACATACATACTGGAATGCATAGAACAAAATATGATAAACTGTCTTACCAGCAAAAAAGAAATGCCACTTTTCATCCTGCTTCTGTCCCTTGATAGTTTAAGCTGTGTGGTTTGATGATCAGGCAGTAGCAGCAGTGGCATAATAAAACAGATCTTACTGTGCCTGATTTTAAAGATTATCTCAAGAACCAATGAAAAACTGCTCTGATTATCAGATTGAGTTAAAGTAGCTATATATGTAATTTCTCATTAGTCACGGAGAAACAGGAATTTCTGCTAAAGGGTTAACATTTAAAAGGCCAAGTAATTGCTGAATAGAAAAGTATCTGCTTGCAACTTTTATATAAATAGGTCAACAAAATAACAGTTTCTAAGCGACCTAAAGCCATTTCCTAGCCATGTGGATATGGGGCTAGACTGCTCCCACCCCGGAGCCGTGCCCAGCTGCGCTCAGACCCCCGGCCCCCCGAGCTGCGCTCCCACAGCCGATTGCGCTCAAAGGCAAAGGCAAACAACCACGGCAGCGCTTCCTCGTCCTGACCCTGGAGCAGATAAGGGACAGCTCTTCCCATGCCCAGCAGCAATGATGCAATGGCAGAGTTACAGCCAGGATCCATCAAGTTAGTGCTGTACATGGGTCTAGTGCTCGAGAACAGAGAGAGAGAGAAGCAGTCAAAGAACAGGCTGAGTAACAGTCTGTCAGTATCAGCTTCTGGGGCCAAGAGACAGGGAGACAGGGGCCGTGCAGAAATGGAGATGGACATTTCCAAATTGGTACACCAGAATGGATTGTGGTGCTTCTCTCAGTACCTGCTTTTTGACCCTATTCTTCCTGGGGGAAAAAAAAAAATTCCAACTCAGCACTGGTAGATCAGGGACATTTGCAGTTTGCTCCTAAGAGGCACTGAAAACCCGCCACCTCAAACCCCTCCACATCCACAGTGACAACTCACTGACCAAAAGCTTAATTGTTATAGCTTGCTTCAAAGGGAACAACTTCCCTTATTTTAATACCCTTGTGTCACACACTTGTTCATGAAGTCTGCCTCCTAGGGTGAGCAGAGATAACTTCCAGCCCAGCACAACACCAAACCACCACCATCTATCAGATGTACAGCCAGATAGTGTTCCAGTAACAGAAACAGTTCCTTCAGCAGTTCTGGGGCCATCAATACAAACGGAAACAGAGCACACAGGACTGAGATGTAAAGGGCCCCAGAAAAACAAGAAGTTTCTCCCTTAAGCAGCCTGGGGTCAGTTACCACAGTGTAGTTTCTGCAGTGAAAAGAGCTGTGAGATGAAGCTGCAGAAGACTGTGCTGAGACCATCAGAAATGCTTCTGTCCAGTACACATTCTCATCAACATGATCACAATGCAAGCAGCCCTCACAGGACAGTGTGGGGCAGTCAGCTCATCAGGGCAGAGGAGCTGGGGAGATTCTGTGCTGCCTTGTGGAGGACATGTGAGGGACCAGTAGCAGCAGGGAGCATGCATCAGCACATGAAGACAACACCTCCCATGACTTAGCACAGCACAGGACAAGAAAAATGGAAAATGAGGAGGGAAGAAACCAAAGAAGCTAATATATCTTAGAGCAGTACCCAGGAAGCCACTGAGCTAGGGATGTACAGGGGGAGTAATAACAACATGGACAAAACTAAGTCATGTAGGTCCAAAATCAACATAGCAAATACCATGGTGGATGTGAACAATCAAACCAGAGGATGTGGATGCAATGCAGTACTGTCCCAGCACTCACCTGTGAACAAATCAGCTTCTCTTTACTACAGCGCTCTTTTCACGGAGAGAGGAGAAGGAGCTGTGAGGGAGCTCCCCCCTCACAGCAAGCTCCTGTTTATGGAGCTGTGAGGTTGCCTATAGTCTCAGGTAAGAGAAGGGGGTGAGGGAAGGGAGTTTATTGGTATCACAGCAACAACAGATTATTACTACACTGGAAACATGCATCATTCACCACAAAGATTCTCTCAAAATATGACCTTCTGGAGCCAAGCAGTCTATGGGTTAGTAGCACTATGCTTATGTAAGATGAAGGTCTTCACATTCAATTTCAGTTTTACTTTTCAGTGACCTTTTAAGACAATTATCCTGAATAAATCAGAGATATGGAGATGTCAGAGAGAAAAACAGATTCAGGGTTACAGTGCAGCTTCAGATTTGGCTTTATTAGCTAGCAGAAATTGCTCAAAATTTATGCTACTGACCTGTTAACTGCAGCAGAGCAAGTCCAAGGCAGAAGTGGCAGGCATATCCAGATAGGACAATGTTTCGATAATTTTGGCAAAATTCTAAAAGCTGCTCAATTAAAATGCTTGAAAAGTGCAGGGAGAGAATCTGACTCAATAGAAAAGCCTAGCAGTGAGAGTTTGTTTAGAATTATATATATTTTGAAGTCTTTTCATTTGCAGACTCTGCCTGGAAAGTCTTTCTGAAACCTGAGTTGTGCTTAGTCTCTAGTACACGCATTTCTGCAATAATTTAATAAGAATTAGTTTTGATCCCCATGGACCAGTATGGAGCCCTCTGTAATTAACAGACTACTACAGCTGACTTTAAAGAGCCAAAGGTAGTAGAAGGAAAAGTAACATCACATGTTGTTTGGAAAGGTAGGGGAATTTTAACGCAGCAAGCATGCTTGCCATGGGTTATGATTCTAAGGTTCCACGTGCAGCCAAACTCTTAATTCAAGTGAGAATACCAGGGAAAATAACTCAAAGTTCTGTACTCTTTATAAGGTTACTGCAAAAAATTTCGCATATCTATATGAGTCAAAGATAATTTTCAAGGTACAGTTGTTTTTTTCTGATATTTTTCTGCCATCAAAGGAGGGTTGATCTATGATTCTAAAAAAACCCAAAACCCAACAAAACTCAGAAACAATCAATCACAACACATTTGAGACATCAATAGGATAAGTGGGAATAGAAACAGGCACACTTCTGTGGACCTAACAGGTGTCAGTTTATGCAAGAGAGGTTACACAAAGTAAACTTTGTTTCTCTTCTGAATTTTGCCAGCAGTTTGGTCCTGGCGCACTATGGAAAAGGCCCCACATTCATCCAGTCCCTAGTTTGTCTGTGTCCCACTGACAGGGCTCTCAGAGCGACAGGAGACCCACTGCTTGACGTAGCTCCGTGTAAAGTCTTGCCCCTCCTGCTCAAGAGGGATGGGCCCACAAATGGTCTGACTGTTTTGCCCAAATTCAGAGTCAACTGGACTTCCACAGTCTGAGTCCATAAAGCCACTGTCAATAGTGTCCAAATCTACACAGATCAACGGATAATTGTCACCAGGCTTTGTATTGTGAGGGAAGAAGTCATAGGAGCCTTCACTGCAGGAAACACTTTCACCATCAGGAGAAGGTAGAGAACCTGGATTTTCCAAATCCCACTGATAAGGCTGCAAGCAAAGGGCTTCTAGTATGCTCTCCACCCCTCCTTCCACTCCCCTTTCTCCTTGCTGGTTGACTGGGACACTTGTGCTCCTCAAGTGGTCTGTGGACACACAGCCTGAAGCAAGTATTTTGTCCTGTGTACTCAGATGAGCCAAATGCAAGTCACTGGATATTTTTCTGTCTTCCTCATCAAGGTTAACCTTGGGGTAACCAGGTTCTCCAGCACTACCATCTTCCTTGTTGGTATGGTCATGTTCCCTGTACACATGGTTACAGCTGCACTGGCAGTCACAAGATGTAAATTCATCGGCCACAGTCACTGTATCAATTGACAAGTGCCCATAGGACTGGTCCTCAGTCCCACCACTACTGTTCACACTACACCACAGCGACTGGCTACCATGACCTGGGGCAGCCAGGCAAGACACACAGGGCTTGCAAGGCAGATTCTTTCTTAGCTCACACAGCTCTTCCTGTGGGGTGCTCTTGGAAGGATGCATGGTATAAACTTCTAGGACTTCTGGAAGGACTATTCCCCATTCAAAGAAATCAAAGGTCATTTTCATATGGGATGCACCAACCCACTTCTGCAGAAAAAGAAACACAGAGAGAGAGAGAGGTTAGCATCACAAGGTTTGAGGTTCCACAGAAATAACCAAATTTCTTACACTTTTGGAGGCAAAAATTAAACTCTAAAATCCCTGACTCCTCCAACATAACAGGAGGATGCTGTTATTATGAGACATGGGCAACTGCAGGAGAACTAACTGAAGTAATTGAAAATAATTTCCTCTTAGAGCTTTGCATGGCTTTGCAGTTTTCTCTGACACTCCCATCAGGATCCCAGGCTTCAGAAATCACATGAACTCAGCTCACACATTGAGACAGCACTTACAGAGAATAAAGAGTATAACATGAAGGTTTTCATGGCACTGAACAGATACTGGAAAGCTCTGGTTCTTATATCTGGAGACATTTGGCATTCCTTTGAGATGGACTTCTCCTTCTACTGCCCTAACGAGAATCCCTTGCTCAGGATAGCATGATGGCCTTTTAGTTTGTCATGTACTCCACTCACTTGTGCAGCCCATTTGTACCTTAAAATCTCCATTATGAGCCATGTAAAGAGGTTTGAAAAAGGGAGCAGGGTCTGGGATGCAAGCCATCTTCTTCCACAAGCTGGAAGAGAAAAGAAAAAGGCTTTGGGGTTAAGCACACATTACAAATGCAAAGCAAGGTATCTCCAGATCCATTTCAAGCAACTGGAATCACTTGCCCAGCCTTGTGAGTTAGCAAGCAGCTGAGGTTCCAAGGATGCCTTGTGCTGCCAGAGCCATCTAATAGCCTTTCCTGTGAACCTCACTAGAGGTGAGACCTCAGCACTTGCACACACACATTCACACTAAGGTAAGAGGTTCCAGTCTTTTCCTTCCTGGAAAAGCACCAAATGCTAGAAATGCATTTTCACCGAGGCTGAGCTGGTTTGTGGTCTGCAGGCAGAAATCCTCCCTATGCAATTCTTCTGTGGACCTAGGCTGTGCCAGCCCTATTGTTGCACCAGCCCAGCCCTCCTCCATGTCAGCACCCCGTGTCTCTTGAAGGGCATAACAAGCCTCTGAGAGGAATAGAGGCCTCCAGCCAGCACTGAGGGACCTATGTCAGCTTTGGAAAGGGGCAACTGGCAACTGCTCTGGCTACTGTGCTCTATCTGGCGACTGCAGAGCACAGACAAGACCAGGAGAACAGCTCAGAAGGCTGTATGGCCCTTGCTTCATCCCCACGTGCCACCACCTTGGCCCTGCCAGCTGAATGGCAACAGAGTCACAAAGAAAAGCAGGTCACTCGGGGCAGTACATCAGCCAGTGACCATTCTTGGCTGTCCCTCACAGGCTCATAGCTGCCCACTCATAGATATACAAGACTCAAGGAAGGTTGCATGTGAACACCCCATCTTTAACAAGATAGAATAAAAGCATTAACTTTTGCCTCCTGAAGCATTCTTACCTCTGCTGTTTGGCCAGAAATGTTGTGATTGAGGCCATGATTGCCACGACAATACCAAACAGCAACAACCATTCCATGCCTGCTGTCTGTGTCACTGCTGGAGAAAGAGACAAGGTCATTCAAGCTCACCTTGCATTTACACCCTGATCAATAAACAGGAGATGGTGAGGGGGAAAAGGGTTTTTGGAATGCAAAGTGTTGTCAAGCATTGGAATGGACTGCTCAAGGAGATGGTGGAGTCACTATCCTTGGAAGTCAAGAGACTGGACATCATCTTAGTACTATGGTCTAGTTGATTAACTGACCATCAGTCAAAGGTTGGACCTGATGATCTTGGAGGTCTTTTCCAACCTAAATGATTAATTTATATCCCAGATTCTCTCATTGGGATATTGAGGCTGTCACCTGGGCATCAGTACTTCAGACAGGTTTGATTGAGGGTGCTCAGAGATGACTGCATCAATGAAAGGAGCAGTACATCAGCTGCCCTATGACCTGGCTGCACCACAGATAGACAGCCAACATAGTTAGGGCAGAACAGCTCCTTGCCACAAAGACCCCTGGAGTTCTGACTCCTGGTCAGGGACACCTCCACAGATGATCTGTGGAGTGAAAGAGTGCAGCTGATTAGAGACAGGTGTTGACTAGATGACGGTTTGGTAGCTGCTCTCCACCTGTGATGAAAAGGAGCACCTTTGAGATCCAGAACTCAGATATCCCTTAGCAAATGGACCTGGTCATGCTGCCACTGCACCAGGTAAACCCTGTAATAGTTCAGCGTGAGCTGCAGAGCAGTGAGAGCAGGGAAGCTCACCACATACTGCTGGCATTGACCACAGTAATTTTGCACCTACTCTATTGGAGCAAAGACTCCTTATTTTCACAGCCTCTGTTCCACCATGACATGCATCAGTGTACTTCTGTATACTGTGAGCTCCCTGCAGAGTATTGCAGAGTGGTGGCTACCAAACAAAACATCCATGCCCAGCATGACCCAACATCCCAGTCCAGACACAGAACTCAGTTTTGAGAGCACGATGCCCCTCCTCTCAGCTGAAGACAACACTAAGACCCAGTAGAGGAGATCTCCCCCATTTCTGAAAGCTGCAAACAGGACCCTGGACATTTGACTGAAAAGGAAGCTAGAGGCTGCACTTCTGCAAGTGGCATCCAAATGTACAGCCAACTCCACCAAACACTCTTCTTTTGCCACACAGTGAGAACATCAATACCGACAGCCCAGGCTTGGGGTTCACATAACCAGTAAGGAAATTAACCATACCTGTCTTCACTGGACTGTTTAAAATTTGTTCTAATTAATTATATTTTATTAAATTTCTGAAAGCATTCCCTGACACTGGACTAATTGAAACGGCAAAGAGATATGGCAGCATGTACCGGCAGGGCTGGTTTTCAGTGACAGCGGAGAACTCCATTCACTCCAAAAACCACCATAGTCACTGTCCTCCCGGGGTCTAGCTCTCACTTGGAACTCGTACTCAGTGTTCGCCTGTAGCTCCCATGGCAGGATCACCAATGTCCGTTTATCTTCATGAACAGCTTTGGTCTTCTGAGTCTGTAAATTATTAAATACCAAACACTAGAGTGACTGCTCTTACTTTGCTTACACTGCTGCACAGTGAGGATGCCTGCAAAGTGACCACTTCTGCTTTCATGTTGTTTCTGCAAGGCCGTGCTCTGACCGGTCAGCAGCTGCATGCAGTCCTAGGGGAGCCTGCCAGGCAGGACAGCATGAGAATCAAATGAATTATCAGCCTTCGTCACAGGATCTAATACTTCTCACACAGCTTCTGCTTCTCAATTAATTTTTGGGTTTGCCTTTTTTCAGTCCAGTCAAGCAGAGAGACATTTTTTCTAAACCATGAAAACCCTTCTTTCCCACCAGTGCTACTGTCCTAGTTGTGATGGCCTCCTCTTTTCTGGTACACCCCACTTGATGGTAAACTGGCATCTCACTTACCTCCCAGGTGTCAGTTATTCTTTTGTAACGCAGCTGATATTCCAGCTCCCCATTCAAAAAGTAGAAGGAAGAGTTATGGTAGATGGTTTCCCAAGAAATATTGTAACCTTCTGAGAACAAAGCGGTCAGGTTGAATGGAGGCTGTGGTTTTACTGAAAGACAGGATGGTGTTACCTTTCATTAAGATTACTACAGTTAGGAGATGGCCCAACATGGTATCAGCAATGCAGAGTGAGTAGGGAAAAAAGCTGCCCTGGCAGTGGTGGGCCTTCCTCCACTAGAGAACATCCACAGCATTCCTGTCCTCAGCCATGCACAGAACCCCACATGTGAGGAATATAATGAAGTCAGGACCACATTTCTCTGAATATATTTTCTGCTTGTCTCTGAACCTCCTCATTGCCTATGGAGAAGGAAAGATAGTATACAGAGATAATAAATTCCCAGGAGATTATGTGAAATGTAGAGCACCTTGTTCTTCTCATGACATAAAAAACTCTGTGTAGTCATGATCACTCACAAGATTGGGGAAATACCCCTCAATGTAACAGAGTCATGAGGAAAAGCTGAGGCTAGGGGACACTGCATAAACCCACTGCAATTCCAAGTCCCATCTGCTCAAAAAGCATGCTTTTGTATTCCTGCAGGGAGTGTGCATACATTGAAAAGCAGTAATACAAAACTCCAGCAGTCTGCAGGGCCCATCACTGAGCTGTGATGCCTTTGAATGAGGGCCTCTAGAAGATATGCAAAGCACCACTACCCAATCTCTAGTCTGTCCGTGGGAGCAAGGAGGCTTCCTGAAATGTTAAGGCATTTGTCAAAAAGATGGCACTTGTCAAGTAAAGTTTCAGAAGAAGCCAAATAGAAAAATCCTTTTCCTACGTCTGCGTGGTACCCATCTGCCTGGCTAACCACTCCTTTTTTTTCACAGTTTGATACACAGCCCAGAACATACCAGCATTCCACCAAGTCAGCTACAGGATTGCATTCAGTCTTTGTGTCATGCAGGAGAAATTATTAGGAATTGCCCCAGAAAGGGAAACTGCCACATCCAGTACATCTGGGACACCTTGTGCCACCCAAAATAATGTCGTGTTGGTTCAGGTGCTCACTGCAAAAGCCTTTTGGGAGCCTCCAGCTCCTTGGATATTACAAGAGAGCCGGAGAAAGACTTTTGACAAGGGCATGTAGTGATAGGACAAGGGGGAATGGCTTCATACTGACAGAGAACAGGGTTAGATGGGATACCAGGGAGATATTCTTGTCTGTGAGGGTGGTGAGAAGCTAGCAGAGGTTGCTCAGAAAACTGTGGCTGCTCCATCCCTGGAAGTGTCCAAGACTAGGTTGGATGGGGCTTGGAGCAACCTGGGCTAGTGGGAGGTGTCTCTGCCCATGGCAGGGAGTTGAGCTGAAGGATTTTTAAGGTCCCTTCCAACCCAAACCATTTTAAGGTTTCTGTGATTTGTGACTTTTGTTATAAAGTAATTCCTCCTGCCCTTTAGAATCCAGCCAAGAACAAGCTCTTGCATAGCCTAGGTATGAGACTGGTCTAAGGTGGATATTTATCACCTACTGCTTCATGGGGAAAAGGAATTTCCACACAAAAAGCATGGACCAAGCCAGTTTGAAGCTCAGCCTCAAGCATAATAGCAATAATAAGAGCACAGTGCTTTATGTAGATGAGTGTACAGTAAATGTAGCCCCACACTGCTTGCTGCCACTCTCACTCCTTGTCCAGACTATCCTAGCACATAAAGTCAACCCGTATTTATGGAATTCACCACTTTTGTACTTACTGTTTTCTGACAAAAAAAAGTCTTTGGAAAGCACGTGCTGCCTATCAGCTACCTCTGTAACATCCACCTGGACTTTGGTATCTGCCAGGAGTTCAGTCATATCCACAGTGCACATGTACTGTGTGTGACTGGTGTTTCTTGACAATTGCATGAGACTGCAGGTAGCCACAGTATTTTCTGGATCTTCCCCAGGAACCCTAAAAAAGACAAAACAAAGAAGTCTGCATACATCACATGCTGTAGTTGGATTAATTTGTTGCTGAACCACCAGGCACCAGGAAATTATTTAAATGAAATTATTATATTATTATTGAAATGAAAAATCAACATGTTCAAATAAAAAATTATCTTTGAACTTCAACAGATATTTTTTCCCTTCTACTTGCTCAGCTTAGCATCTTTGAGAGAAATAGGAAAGTGTTTCTGGAAAGGAAAGGTGCTCCTCAGGCCTACACTGCTCAAGACTACATCCACTTCCTTACTGGGGCAGAACAGCAGCAGACCGGACAATCTACATGAGCCCCACCAATGCACAGGGGTGAAATTTCACTTCTAACAGCAGCAAAGGGCAAGGTATTCCCATGGCAGCAGAGAAGGCAATGCCAAGGAAGCTGGAGTCAGCATAGCAGTTGGCAGCAAGAAGCACAGGCAGCGGAGACAGGAGCCAGGGGTCCTTTGCTAGGGAAGTCTCAAACTCCAGTTTGTAACTGGAGTGCAAAATACCAAGTAAAAAACCAGCACAGGAGCAAAACCAGGATTTCTACCTAGCAAAGAGGACAGAAGGTCACCACTGTGCTATGGCCATGCAGAAGCTCCTGCTAACTGGACTGTGCTCATCCCACCAAGACATACCATGTAGCAGTGACATCGTACGAACCGGCACCCAGCTCATCTCGCAGGATACAGGACAGGGTCTCTACATAGTCCACGAAACAAGTGAGGTTTTCCCAACACATAGCTGTAGGTTTGGAAAGAGAAAACACAATATCAACTTCTGTGACAAATCAACATATGCACTCCTCAGGGTTCCCACTAAATCTGAAGGGAACAGACCAGTCTCTGACAACCGTCCTCCCTCCCACTGAAAGTCTCCAGTTCTGTGGCATAAGATGTGTTCCAACTCAACAGGGTGACAAGTCACTGACAGCAAGATAAGTGTCAAACAAAAACCTATTAAAAATGCTGTGGCAGCCAAAATCAGGACATGCCTAAATTGTGACTCTCACATAATCACTACAGCACAGTCACATATTTCTGCAAGAATTTTAGCTTATATGGCACACAGAAGAGGCCTGAAACCCAGTGAGAAACAGTAGCATTTTGTATTCAAGCATTTTCATGATACCACTTTCTAAATTGGGTACTGTCCATTGCTAGTCTAGTTTTCATTGTACATCTACATAGCACTTTACACATTTTTTCAAGTGCTATTTTAGTAATTTTTTCTTTGCCATTCTCTTTTCTGTTTTCTAAAGCTTGATATCCACAGTATCAACACTTTTTATGTTCAGCTCTAGAGCCTTGAAGTATGTTTTTAATGAAATTTGGGAATAAAAAATACTGCAGTTTTTTGTAGTTACTATAATTTCTATAAAACATTCTGATAAGCACAATTTATTAATTACAGCCTTCTCAAGAGAACTTGAAATGCAGTTGTAGAACTTATACTGGTATTAAGAAAATCAAGTAATATTTTGAAAGTGGTCACAAAGCAGCATTTATACTCTTCTACTTGTTCTGCAGGAGCTTAGCTCACAGAGCAGTATCCAGTACGTACTTTATAGAAGTACAATTGTTCTGTACATAACACAATTATCTCCCTGCATTTCAAGGCAGGTAAGATAGTAGCACAGTGAGAAATGTTTGCATTGACAAGTCCCCTCCTGACAGCTCCCTGGGCTGACAAGAACCACCACCATTACACTAGGAAAGGCTGAATGAGGAAAGGCCTGCAGGTGATGCAGCATGCCGTGCTGGTTCAAACCATGCCTACTGCAGTGACATTCATTTCTGACACGTAAACTATTACCAATTTCAATGGGAATAAAATGGTCATCATCTAGGAAAAGACTCAAGATAGTTACATCCATGCTTAATTTAAGCATGTGTCCTCCCCTACGGTGAAGGCTGCTGCCAGCCTCCTGAGAACACACTACTCTGCAGCCATCAGGCAACCAAACCCTTTGATGCTAACCACGCTGCAAGCTCACTTCCCTTTGTTCTTCTGCTGCTTTCTTGGTTAGAGAAGCTGCACTCCCTGCTTCCTCCTCCCCTGTTGCAACATGCAAGTCCAGAGTGTTGTTTGCTAATGTGATATGTTCGACAACCCCAGTGCCCAATCTTAGAGCTGAAGCTGTATGCAGAGAACCACCAAGGAATGCAGACAGTGTGTGCAGTGATGGACCAGAAACATCTGTTCCTCCCTTCAGATTAAATGGCCATCCACACAAACAAGCTGTCTGCATTTACAGTCACAACAAGCAGCAGGCGTGTCCAGCGAAGGGTGCAGCCTCCTTCGAGGGTGGGGTAAGTCCAGAGGAAAACAAAGTCCAACTTTTCCCTGCTGAAGTCACCCATCACAACATTTACTTCCTAGTCCTCACATGTCAGAGCACACAGTACTCTCCCTACACGAGCTCGGGGCAGCACTCAGATTTGCATACAAAATCCTCCTTAACCCAAAGGTTTAGGATGGTGGCAGAATAAATTTGGGCATGTTTGGAACAGATTGGTCCAAAAGATGAACATATGATTCTTTTAAACTTTTATTTTGACTTTTTAAATTCACATCAACTTCAGAATTCTTTCTAAAATTTTCATTAAGTTCTCACGTTTTATTTTGAACCCTCAGTAGACTCTTCTGAGGGTCCTGGACCAAGCACTGCTTAGTTCAGAATCCTGAGCAACATACTTTTTCTCTTTTAGCCTAACTTTATTCTCCTAGAAAAAAATTGGGTTAGGAATCTCTTGCATTCCTTTAGAAAGGGCAGCAAGTATTAATAGGCTATTAAGCATCAGTAATTAGTGTTCTTCTACGCTATTGTGATAATTAGTCAAACAGATTACTATTCCTAGGTAGACAGGCTACTATTCCTAGGTAGCTGGTAATCTGCAAGGGTATCTTTGGGCAAGAATCTGTTAACAAAATTAAGAGGACAGCTTTTTGCTGGCAAAGGAATAATTAAGTGTCCTAAAACCAATTAGTTAGATCTAGGATGAAATGTCTCTCCTTGGCAGCTTCAGAAACAAAACTTGAATACTTTTAACAGTAGGATCTAGATTGATCCAAACTGAAATTAGTACATGGTAATTCCCTGGCTTGCATCACACAAAATTCGGACCAGACATCACAGTGGTCCCCTATGACAGAAATATATAATTCTGAATGCATCTTGTCTCCTTATTTAGGTCTGGGGCAGGTCCAATGCTCTGCCTACAAGCAGCAAGTAAGACACTAAACTTGCATGGTTCCCTGCAGATGTGGTTGTCACTGCCTTTTTCTGTCTGGCTGATCTGTTCAGAAAGTCAGCTATGAGTCAGCTGGAGTTTGCAGTGTGGGTAGGAGCCAGAAAAAAGAGTGGGCTGAGGGGCTGGGGGTGTGACTGTACGCACAGTCCAGTCCTAAGCAAAGGGACTCAGACTAGGAGAGGTTCACTACACTGACCCTGGCTGACCAGCCAACAGCAACCCTGGGATATCCTGGTCCTGGCCACCAGAACCTTTTCTATAGCAAAGGGTATTTTTGGTGGGGGAAATCCTACTTTAATGTCACTAGGAGACATTTCAGCGCAAGGCAGGCGCTGCCTCTGCAGGCTCTCCACTGGTGCTGCTCCCAGAGCCGTGTACAGCCTGGCTGAACTCGGCCCAGCTGTGCTCCTTCCTGTGCCTGTCCTCCACTCACTACGGCATGGAACTCTCCCCTGGGACCTCATCTTGTGCTTGCTGTCCCATGGCAACCTTGTGCCATGCACATCTCATCAGCGCTGGTAAATATGGCCACTAAGATAAATCCTGTGGTTGTACAACCTGAAAGAAATAGCTGAGGACTTACTGTACTGGAATAAAAGGCAGAAGAAAATATTCTGGAGCCACAGTTTGTTCTTCATGGTAGTTCTCACTGGATGTCCTGGGGAAGAAAAAAAAACAAAACAAAACAACCACACACAAGATTCCCACGACCAATTTAGAGCTCTGCTCAGACATTTACTTGATTAAGGTTGAGGTGGAATTAATCTTGCTTTCTTTTAAACATCTAAAAGTAGAGTGCCTTATTTAGACAATTAATTTCAGCTCTCCTGCTCCATTCCATGTGCTAAGGGGGGTATGACCAACAGCCTGCCAACTTGCCATAAGCAAGGTCAGTGAAATCTTTGCTCTTTGCTAGGACATGCACAGAGAAAGCAGCAAAGTGACTGCAGCTCAGGCTATCTAGGCAACAAGAAAGACTCTTGGGTTAATGGCTAACCCATTTTTTCTTCATTAGTATCTTGCAACTAGGAATGGCCTGCCACTAGAAGTGACACTGCTGCAGATTAAACAGCTACGCAGTGCATTGGCCAAATGGAGTCTGAATATCATTGTGGGTCTGTGTGAGGAAAGCTGGTGAGAACTCATTGATTTGGCCTACCTATAGTTAAATAAGCATGAAATATCTAGTTAAGGAACTCCAGAAAGACAGACCAGAGGAAAAAAAAAAAGAAGAAAAAAAAAAAAAAAACAGCCTCGCATATAGCATCCAAGAGAACAATGTACAGTACTGACTGCAGGGAAAGGCTGCCCTGATGGTATGGTGAAGAGAACCTACAACAAAATCTTCAGAGAAGATGACAGCAGGATGTTAAAAACAGAGGAAATAGCATCACATAGAAATGACTGTTCAACCCACAGCCCCTGCTCCAAGACAAAGCCCTCAAGTCATATAATGTATTTAAGGCTGTGTTTTCACAACATTTAAATGTTTATAGAAATACATGGATGTGCATAGAAAGACTCAAAATGTGCTCTCTGCAGAGTATTGGCTGTTGATACCTGTACACACTTCAGCACTGTTTTCTCAAGCTGTTCCTAAATGGGACAAGACTTTGGAGAAGCAATGTGTATTATTTTGGCGACACAGTTTCATTGAAAGCAAGTCGCAAGGATGCACAGGCAGCAGGAAGGGCCCATATGCCATGCCACATAGTCTGATCTACCCTTTTGATTTAAAAAATATCATCCCTTGTCCTGTTGCAACAGACTCTGCTAAAAAGTCTGTCCTTATCTTTCTTACTGGTTGTAGTAAGGTCTCCTCAAAGCCTGCTCTTCCCCAGGCTGAACAAGCCCAACTCTCTCAGCCTGTCATACATAGCAGACGTGCTGCAGCCCTTGAAGCATTTCTATGGCCTCCCCTGGACTCAACACAGCAGTTCCACATCCTTGTCACATTGGGGGTCCCAGACCTGAAGGCAGAACACCAGGTAGGGTCTCAAGAGAGCAGAATAGAGAGGAAAAATCTCCTCCCTCTATCAGTTGCCCACACTGCTGGGGAAGAACCCCAAGACAGGAGTTTCTGGGCTACCAGCACATATGGCCTGCTTATGGCCAGCTTTTATTTCACCACTGCCCCAAGGTCCTTGTCAGCAGAGCTGGTCTCAATCTGTTTGTCCCTCAGCCTGTATTCATATGGGGGGTTCAAGGTATCCAGGTTCTGGGGTGCCTATGCAGCATCCACCACAAGCAACAAATACCCAAGCAATCACCCAGCAGAGAGAAACCCATGAAGCCTTTAAGACTTGGGGAACATTTGTGGAGTTTAAAAATTTCCCAGGTTTACTCAAATAATGAAAACAAAACAAATTTAGCAGCCACCAGAAAGCCCCTGCAGCCTCATGTGAGCACACAGACTTGCTCTCAGGGTGTCAATGCCCAGGTGAGACTAGCAAGACTCGCTCTGGAGGTGCCACAGACGCACTGCGTCACACCCTGCTGTGGGAGCAACGATGCAGCTACTGCCCCTTCTTTCCTGTCAAACAAACCCTGCCCATGAGTTCCAGCTCAGCAAGGAGCCCCAGGCACCCTGCCATCCTCCCTCACCTGTTGCCAGTGGCAGGGCAAACTCTCTACCTTCATACTCCAGCCATTCTTTCTGCATCACACATTGCCTTGAGTAAACACCTTTTCTTGACCGCTCTGGTCCAAGCTCTCCAAGTTTTCTCTGCATAATAACTTTTGTCATTACCACTACTTCTGGTGGTGCAGTCCCTAGTCACTGAGATACAGTCCACTGTCTAACTCCACCTTGTGAAGTTAGACATCTTCAATGGCTCTTCTGCAAATCCTCATTCCTCTGAGGAAGGCCTGCTGTTATCCTATCTGAAACCTGCTCAGTTGACTTCATGCTGAGACTGGCTGCACCATGAGCCCATCCCAGCATCACTCAGTGTTGTGACTGTCACGCTCCACACTCTTGGCAACCATGGAAAACAAAGGAAGGCAGCTTGTGAAAGAAAAAGGAAAGAGAAAAGAAAGGGAAAGGGAAAGGGAAAAGCTGGGCCCTCAGAGAGGCCTGCAGACCCACCACCTATTTCAGAATCCAACTGGCAGGGCCTTTGACACTTTGTATTCACAATATTGCAATAACTCCCTGATTTTATGCTTATTCCTGACTAAATGAACAGACCAATGCAAGAAAGTCTTTGCTGCTTTTACCTATTGGACTGTGGTTTCTTTCAAGGGCTACTTTTCTTTCTCTGCTCATAGAATGGTACCTTCAACCAGAAGGGACAGGCAGGACTGAACTTGAAAAAGTCAAAACAAGGAGCCCAAGTAGCTCATTGGGTAGATGTCTTACAGAGTTATCAGGGACTGCCATTACACAGTGGGGAGAGGTTAGCATACAGCCTTGTAGTCTAGAAGGAAGATTCATGAAGAGCAGCACAGTAGCAAAAATAAGAAAATCAGTAGGATCTGCTAAAATAGCTGAAACAAAGAGACAATACTTCCTCAGTTGGGATGCCACTGTCCCATCTCCTACCCTTGCCAGTGCCCATAGATTAGTCCAACATTTATCTCCTTCTATTTCCCTACCTCACTGTGGTAGAAAAGGACTGTGGCCTCTAAGAGCACCACAGACAGTTTCAGTACGGCTGAAACTGTCTGACCTTCTGGCTGTGCTCCAGATTGTTATGACAAGACATGGACAGACAAGACATGTGCAGAAGAGCTGGAAAGCTGCAGCTCTGCAGCAGCATCTTCGTGGTGTTTGATGCCAAAGCCCTCATGACTTCAATGGAGATGATGGAGCCCTAATTCTGAAGCATGCTCCAGTCAGGCCCCCTGCAAGCTTCAATCCCAGGCTATTATTGGGACCCCACCTTTCCTGCATCCCTCCATTTGTTACACCCTTCCCATCTGCTTCTATCTGTCAGCGTGTGATTGTTAACCTGGAGGAAAGAATGGCAGTGGGCAATGAGCAGAGGCAGGGACTTATTCCCAGTCTGGCATTAGAAAAGTCCTTCCTACTGCCTCATTTCATTTTCTTGGTCTGTGAAATGGGAACTCAGAATCAGCTTCACGCATCCTTGCAACACAGACACTTGTTATAAAATGTCAAGCATTGTACAGCTGCCAAGTACTACATCTGCAAACTCTGTAATATCCTATGAGATCACAGCAATAAAGCTGAGTAGCCATTCATAATATACACATGTACATGATGCTACAAGTTTTTAATATACCAGAGAATAGGAAATAGGACCAATACAGACAGACCTTTATGAAGATTATTTTTGTTAAGGATCTGGAAATATGATGCTATAAGTTACCAAACATTGATGCAGTCTAAGATCACAGTTTGAACTGTTTTCAGGAAATAAACAAAAACAAAAAAACAAAACAAAAAAAAAAAAAAAAAAACCCAAAACCCCAAAACAAAACACACACACAAAAAAACCCCAACCAAAAACAAAAGAAACAAAAGAAAAAAAAAAACCAAAAAAAACACACCAGAAAAAACATCCCCAAAAAACAAAACAAAACAAACAAAAAAAAACCCCACCAAATTCCAAATCAAAACTAACTAAGAGCTCAGTTTAAGTTAAAAAAAAAAAGAGAAAAAATATTTCCAAGCATGAGAAAATGAATTTTTTGCACCCAAGCAAAAAAAGAGTGGAAGATACAGTCCACCAATTATATGCCCAAATAAGCTTTCTTCTTGAGAAAAAATCATTATCAATGCACACTGCCATCTGATCAGAAAGCTGAAGCAACAGGGAGACAAAGGGGTGCTCTGACTGTCCAGAGGCTAAGAGCAATGACAGCTGGGGCACAAGGGCCACATCAGCTATAAGAAAGATTTACAGTGAAGTTGCAACATCAAGCAGGAACAAACTGGCAGCAGGGAAAATTGGTGGAAACATGGATATTACCTGCCCTGTATCTGTGCATTTCAGCCCTCCAACACTTCCATGACCAGCCTGGCTAAATCATTACTGCAATTGCAGACCCCACCTGGGGAGCTGAGGAGCAGGTGGGTCTCGTCAGCACTGAGTAAGAGCAAAGCCTACTTGTGCTCAGCCAAGGGCCGTGGTGTATTGGAATGCACAGCGATAAGTGGAGATTGACGTCACCACTGTATCAGTATTACTGTGCCAACAGAAGGATGTGGTGAGAGGAGGGGATGAATTCAGGTCCAAACACCCACACAACATTTATTACTGTACTGCTCTGCTTTCTTACGTGAGAAAAGGGTGGGAGAACTGACAAAAACTCACAAGCCTCATATCTAAAAGGTCATAGTGGGGCTTAGATTTGTGCAGTGAGGAGGCATCAGTGTCAAGGTATTAAAGGGCTAATCCATACTACGTAGTGCAGCTTGTGCCACATTGGAGACAGTCAAACACCACGGTGTTCAACTTCCATCTGTTCCCAAAATGGTCCCAGGATCAGGGAAGAGCACCAGTCCTTAGATCACAGGCAGGGAGGTCACCTGGCTCCTACACAGGCAAGGGCCTGTGACTTTGTCTGGGCCGGGTCTCCAGATTGCAAGGTTGACACTGAGGGAGGGTCCATCAACTCCCTCAATCATGCCTTTAAAGGGGCTTCAAGGAACCCATGTGCACTCACTGTGTCCTTGGACAAGAGGGAAATGAGCAGCACTGTGGAGGGATTTGGCACACACAACACAGCGTGGAGGCAGGAGGAGCTAGGAGCAAGAACAAGGAGCTGTAATAACCCAAGAAGACTGCACCAGTGAAGCTGGCACAAAGCAGCAGGGTGCAGGATGAGGGAGCTCCATGTTAACCTCTGACTCACTCTTTGAAAAACAGGTGTTTTGGAATGTTCAGGCCAGGGCAGGTGGCTCTTGACCATGCTTACCAGGTAGTTGCTGGTAACTGAGCTGGTCGTACACTCTTAGAGCATGCATGGAGAAGGTCACATAATCCAGAAGCTACTCCTCATTGTGTTTGGAGCAGCCTCTCCAAACCATGCAATAATATGCATTTGATATTACAGAGCTAATTTTAAAAACAGGAACACTGGTAGCACTGTAAGACAAATGGCTTTATAAATTTAAACATATTGCACCAAAAGGCCTGTTCCTCAAATTTAACTCATAAAAAGTGTAATTTCAGCCTAGCCTGCAGTAGTAATATTCACCAAGAAGCAAGTGTGAAGGGCTCACAAGGGAAGGCTTGGTAGATTCTCTTATTCATGACCCAAAACCATTTTGCCATCACTGGAAGAAGGACAACATCATTACATATTTATCAGCAAGATAAATCATTGAAAAAGCAACATTCAGAGCTGACAGTTCGTTTCTCTAGGATATAAAACCAGTCATGCTTGGAGTTATCAGGTTCATGATTTGACGAAAAAGAGAAAAAACTCCACAGAAACAGTACTACCTCTGTACTTTCTTCCTGTCATAACAGAATTAAACCAATATCCCCAGCAGCGTCAAAGATACAGACCTGGCATAACTTTAGAGTCAAAGGCACCATTACTGGCTGATGACATTTAGGAGGAAGATAATCATACATTACAATAAGTGAAAAATGGCAGGAGAACAGCTGAGACATGAGTAACAGTGTTCTGCTGGAAAGGAAAGAAATAGAAGAAACCACCTCAAAGCTCAGGAAACAAGCTAAAATATGAATGAGCCAGGCAGAAAGCAGAGGTGTTAGTCAGCAAAGCAGCAGGTTGAAAAACACCGAAGCTCCACAGGTGGTGGCTGTGAGCTGACACAGGATGCTGCAGGGAGGGAGGAGTACATTGCTCTCAGTCTGAGGAATACTGAATGTCACCTGCAGAGCCCAGCATCCTGCCCTCCTTCCTCCCTTCTGCCTTTGCCAGTTATCTGTAGCCATCAACACTGGGGTCAGCCTCTTGTTTTCCCCAATATCCATCAAGTCTGAGCCCATACTGCATGAATGCTGTAGTAAGAGGACATCACTTTGGCTCTAGCCAGGGGAAAAGAGCTTACCTTCACAGAGCTGTGGCTATGTACGTCTTGCTCACATGGAGGAGATTGCACAGAGGCATGTATCTTCTCTCAGGAAATCACCCAACACATGCTGGTAAAGAGAAACAGGAATGACTGTGCTTGTGAACTCACCCTGACCATCTGGAACAGAAACCTACAGCTCTGCTCAGGCTCGAACCAACATCCGCAGCTGCACCATGCAAAGCATGCCCAGAGCATCTCTGCACAAGGTCAGCAAGGCTCATGCATTCCCACAGCGCTGACCTGAGCTGGCAGTGCTGGCAGAACTCCCTGCTCCTTCCATGCAGGTTGGCAGAAACCGACCCCCTTAAGGCAACACTGATCAGCTTGTCCCCACATCTGCAACTGGGGATGTACCAAGACCAGAACTCTACTCCTGGCACACAGATGTTTATGGCAAGATCCTCATCTGCATCTCATGGAGCTGTTTTACCACAGCTGTCAAAAATCAGCATGTCCCCCCTATCCTGCCTGGCTGCAGCTCTTCCACACTTGGGACTGGTGCAGCGATGGAGTGTGACTTAGGCAGCTTCGGGCACCTGTCACAGGGTGAAAAACACCAGCTGTCTTCAGCCTCTGGCTGTGGCAGCATGTGCAAAGCAAAGGCTTCACGCAGCAAGCTGCAGGGGGGGTGGCCAGCTGCATCTATAAACCACAGAACATGCAGTCCTAACACATTTGGTAACTTCCCATGTCACTGGCGGCAATGTGATGTGTCTTTAGGAGAAAAGGCAGGAAGGGAGTGGCTTCTCAGAAAAGCCACCCTTGTAGCCCCCCCTCCACTATAAAATCTTGCTACACAAGCCCAATATAGGAGCAGAGCCAGAGGTTTTTCAGTTGTAAGAACAGCAAAGGCAGCTTGACCAGAAGTGGGAAGAATTCCTAATACTTCTGGACAAGAGGGTCTGTTGCAGAGGCACAGCACAGCTCAGAATAAGGCCATGAAATAGTTAGCACAGGCCAAACTGTGTATCCTAATTCCTGCTGTAGTAGAGGAAACAGGGCATTTCATGGCTTCATTGCCCCCCGTCATGGTGTGGAGGAGCATGCTGTGTGTTTCTGAAGCACCTCAGCCAGGTAGTGGAGGGGGAGGACCACCCAGCAGTGAGCTGCCCTGCACAGCCTCCAAGCCCAGGGCCTGCCAGACATGTGCACTGGTCAGCACTTGCAGTACAGTACAAGGCAGCTCCTCCAAACCTCAGCTGGCTGTTTACCACAGGCACTGGCTCCATGGCCAGCCATGGCCAATGCACATCTGGTTCTCACAGAAACTCCCTAGGGCGTCAAAACAAGAACTGGGGATTGGTTACAAGGCTGACCCAGGCATGGAAATTCTACCCCCACAATGCCGTCCAGTGCTTTCTCACCTCATTATAATTCTTGTTGCTGTGTGGGTGGCTCATTGCAAGTGAAACCAGCAGTAGCTGAGCTGGGGAGAAGCAGTCAACCTCAAACCCTTCAGCTTATAGTGAATTTCCCCATTTCTAAGAGCCGGGGAAACAGTAGTAGGAAAATCCCAGTGCTACGTATTAGTCACCAACTTTGTAGCCTTCAATCAGAGGACAAATACCACACTGTTATGAATGCCCCGCTCTTTACGACTGGGTAGAGACAGGATGAAGGAAATGGCTGATCCACCACTAAACTGGGACAGGAGCTCCTTAGGACATGCCTGCCATGCTCCTTGGACTGGGGCCAGTCTAGCACAGTAATCCCTGTACCAAAGACAGATTGTGACTCACAGGCTGTACTGTAACAGCTCTTGCCATGACAATTGCCTCTCTGCATTCAGAATATAGAATCTTAGGTCTCATGAAAAGATGGTCAGTTTTATAGACAGCATTCTGGCTAAGAGCAAAAAAACAACTAAAATGGCTGCTCCTGCCCTCATGCAGCTAAACAGCCACAGCAGCCAGTTCCCCATTCTGCTCAACTTGGGCTGTTGCCACTTTTTCTTCTCTTTCATCTTGCAGTCTTACTGAAGGGACAGCATGGACATTCCAGTGTTATAGAAAACCACAGGAGGGGCAGACTGGAAGCAGGACAGCAAAAAGGACAAATAGAGCAAAGTGCCTTTGGCCAGAGTTCTGCAGAGATGTACAGTTCCTGTCAACAAGCTTGTCACAAGGAATGAAAACGGGATTTAGCAATCCAGCTGTTCTGCTGATAGCTGTTATTAGGCAGTCTGGGAGAACAGGCCAACGTATGGCAATTCCTTAGGCTTTAACTTTGGTTGTGTTACTGAGGTATCTGGAAAGTGCTCTCTTCCTCATTTGACTGTGTTTTTCCTTTGCTTTGGAGCAATCTGCTTAGAAAGACAAAAGTCCTGCAGTTGAAAACCAAACTGGTTCACTGGTCTCCCTGCTTTTTTTACCTTCTGACCTTGTGACTTTGGTGCAGTAGGAGAGGCCTTGAGGGCTGTGGCCATGACTGCAAGGTCTCAGTCACAGAAGCATGCTGAAAGAAATGAAAATTCCGGGTAATGTGAGATCAAGATACATCATCACGTGGGAGCCTGGGGCAGACCTTGTATTCAGCAATCTGCAGAGGTGAGAAATTATCTGTGTGTTTGTGTGCATGCATGGACACACATGCCTGGGCAATGCCCAGGCACAGTTCTCCCAACAATTAATTAAAATTACCTATTTATTTGTAAAAGCAACTGCATACAAAATAACACATTTTGGAAGCACCTCTGTGAGGGCTAGAACACAAACTGCATGAATCATGATCCCTAAAAGGTTTTTGACAGAGAAGACCTGGTTAGGAGAAAACAAACTGTTCTCTCAGCCTCTCAGCCTCTCTTCATTAAGGAGTTTTGTCACATAATTGCATGGTCAGAGGTAAACCTTAGGGAGCAGGGTTTTGGGAGTTGCAACCCTCTCATTTAGTTCTCTAACCCTTTGTTCCTTTGGCCCTATCATTGCAACACTTAAAAGAACTGGTTTTCTTATATAAAGTTTGTACCTCATGGTGGGTGAACACTTGGACATCCCTGGACCCTGCCTCAACAATGCAGGGTCACAAAGCAAGAGGCAGAGTCAAGATATTTAAGAAGCTGACCCCTCCTTCACCCTAAATTAACTTGTCCCTACCCCCAAGAACCTGACGCCACATCCTCAAGGTCCTGCTCTATCTAGGATCACCCTTGTCGTGTGGTTATTGTCAGCTTTCTCTGGGCAATGATAAACCTCATGACTGATGGGAATTTGCCAACAGCTGATCCTTACAGGTGCATATTTCCAAGGAGCCAACTCTGTTCAGAAGAGAAATGAAAAGAAGCCAAGCCTCTGGCATTTCTGCAACGGAAAAGGAATGTATCTGAACTAGTTTCTCCTGAACTGTGAGTGCACCAGCTTTTTGTTTCTCAGGAACCCATTTCACTCATGGTGAGTCAGGTTGCTAGTATTTGGTAGATAAACAGGTGAGATAGATGTGGAGGTGGAGTGATTGTGAGCAAGTAATAAATGGCACTATAACTAGGCTAAAACTTGGCACAAGCCTTCACTTGCACAGCAGTTTTCAAAACAAACTGAAAACCAATGAATATATGCTTACCATGATCAGTAATTCTCTGTCCTGGCAGGAGCCCTCATTCACTAATAGGACATGGCTGGAGGGCACCAAAGCTCCTCTCTTGGGAGGGTGAGCTGCCTCTCTCTGTATAAGCGTGCAGGCACAGGCTAGTCCCCAGGTGGTGACCTCAGTTCAGACCCCTCACTGCCAGCTCAAAGTCACAACTCCCACTCACCACCCAAGGGGCAGATCACCAGCTTGGGCCAGAAACCTGTCACTTGAAACCCATCTGGGTTTCATAGCCTGGCAATAGCTATGCATGGCAAAAGTGGCAGGGTTAGGGGATGGAACAGGGAACTCAGCTCACACTACAGCCAGGCACCATGCCTGTTGCAGGGAGAGGGCGAGCCAGAGAGCTGCCCCCTCAGCCCCACTGTCTGTCTCCAGTTCTGGGCTATACAAAGACATAGGAACAGGGATCCCCCTTCTCTAAGAGTTAGGTTCCATTTCACCAGAGAAATATTGAAGGGAGAGAAAGGGAAGAATAACCCCACACAGAAAACCATCATATGGAAATGTGCAGACTGGAGTGCTATGTTGAACAAAAAAGCCAGGGAAAGGCAGAATAGAGCTGGGGCTCATCAGAGAAGCAAGTGCTGCAGCAAAGTTGGCCTGAGCAGACCTCTCCAGCCAAGCACAAGCCTTCATGGATGCAAAATCTTTCTTCTCACAAAGGACACAAGAGAGAGCGCAGGTGTAGAAGCGAAAGAAAGCACCACTGGTGTCCTTACACAGACACCTCTACTACTTCACCAACTTGGAAGAGAGATTTGCAGTACCAGTTGCTGTGCTTAGCATTATGATTTCCTATCTTATGAACAGTAATACAAATAGAGTTTTCTAAATGAGAACAAATGTATACATGTCAATAGAAAAACTCCATTACTTAATGGTTCTTATTTGTTTTATGCTGTTGCCAACATACTAGGGTGGAATTTACCATACTGAAATATATAATTATGCTGTAGAGAACTTGTCAGTAAAACTTCTTGAGTAATTATCCAACAAGAAGTACATACTGCCTTTAAGGTGTGGGCTAATTCCTATTCTGATTGGACAAGAACAAGAAGCTAAAAAAAGTATTTCACTAAGGTAGGGTGTTGGACCACACACTGGATAATCTTTCTGGGAAGAAACACTGCTTAGAAATCCCTGATTCCTTTTACAGCTGCTGAAGTAACTGCTTGTTTCTACAAGGTAAGAAACTAATCACCAATAACAGCACTGTGTAAGTGCAAATGATGGTAATCTTTACCTCAGGTCTTGATTGCGCAGGTATAGAAACATACAACCCATACCAGGGCTAAGCACACAGGGCAACATCTCCGACCCCAAAAGAAGTAATATGGAAGCTGTGTCACAAATCAAACACCTTCCCTTTGGACCTGCACCCACATCCCAGTTTCAGGTATGTCAGCACATTCCACGTAACCTTTGTGTGCTTCCCAAGCAACACACAGCCAGGGCAATAACCACAAGAGCTGTACTAAGAACTGCTTCCTGCAGTGGCTGCTCCCTTTTAGAGATGTCTCACAGCTGGAGACACCAGCTCTGACTTTGTCCCTTTGAGCTGTGGCTGCCACTGCTGGGTGCCAAACCCAACTGTGCCCAGGGGTCTGCATCATGTCCCAGCTGCCCGTCCCAGGCAGGCAGAAGTGCTACAACCCAATGAATCATGGGTGACCTAGAGTAGCCCTCACTTCAGTAAAGATTGAAATAACAAGCAACAATTCAACTTGCCATACAGTTTATTTCCAAAGACTAATTCAGTCCTGGCAAATGTGGCTAGGCTACCTCCATATAGCAGTTGTCTTCTTGGGCAAGAGTTCGCACAAAAGTTTCATTTTTTTCTCATTTTTCCTGCTGTTTTCCATTAATAGTTCTACTGGTCTTTTTTTTAACTACAAATGCCAGTATGGAGTCCTCACTGTGAATGGTGTGAGAGTCAGAAGGATAGGAGTTACTCACAAAATTACAAGGTAGCACCTTGTCTGAGCTATGGAGCTCCAGGGCCTCTGCAGTTTTTCTGTCTAAGTTTAGCCCAATACTGTTCAGTGATGCTGGTAAACTGACTGCTGAGCCACACCCCCCACCCCCGTCTGCATGCTTCAGCACCTCTTCACTTCCCCCTGCATCTCCAAGTTCCCTCAAGTGGTTGTGTGAGTGGCAGTGGAAGTCAGTATTTTAGTCTGCTATCACCACCCTCTTGCATTACTTTACCAGTAGAGTTAAAGCTTTTCCATTTTGTTGCCTTTGTAGCTCTTTCTCTGCTGTTTAAATCTTGACATTTCATCTCTAACAAATGCAACAGCTGTTCATCTCTGCTGGTATTTCCATCATTGCTATCACCATACAGTTCATTAGTGCTGTTGATCCAAGGGCTGCCATCACTAGTCTGTGTGTCATTCTCACTAGAAGCTAAACCTGGGACAATGGGGCAGTCAGAACCCTGAACAGTCAAACACACACCGTCCTTTATCCTTGGGTCAGATTCATAGATTGCAGTATCTGAAGGTGCTTCACTCGGGTTGTTGCACAGATTAAGGAAGGATTCATATAGTGACGTAGACATAACCTCATTGCCACTGTCCCAGTACAGACCATTACATTTACCTGCACTACCAAAAGGCTGATAGCCAGATGGCTGAGGTGCAGTGGAGCAAGAAATTATATTGGCTTTCCTTTGAACATTTTGATATATTACTTGCTTATGCATTTCTTTCTCTGAAAGAAAAGCTGAAGGACCTTCATTTGCATGTGTGGAGAAAGACGGAAAATCAGTATGTTCTGAACAGGTGTTTGGAAAATCAAGCTCAGTGCTGGGAGATCTGTAGCTGTTATAACACATCTGATTGCTAGCAGGCTGAGCACTTTGATCTCTGCAGCTGCATTCGGGCATCTCTGACAGCTGTCTCAAAGGCGATGAGGAAGGCACACTTTCAAAGCCCAGAGTCAGGCTACTGTTAGCCATTGACTGAGACATGAGGGCACTGAAGCTCTTGTATGCAGAGCTGCTGGGTTCCTTGCATGCAGACACAAGCACATTAAAGCTCCTGTAGGCAGAGCCACAGGGTTCCAGGGATGGAGACAAAAGGGTGTCGCAGCTCTTGTAGGCAGAACTACACAACCCCATGGATGCAGACACAAGGGTATCAAAACTCTTGTCTGCAGGGCTGTTTATTCTGTCTGTTTTGGTTCCAAACAATGATTTATTTGTAGATTCCTGGGTCAGGACACAAGAGTCAAGCTCACTTTCAGAACGACACAGAAAATGGCTTTGATGAACCATTTGTTGAAGATCTCTTGCATCCAGAGAAGCAGAATTTATGCTGGAGCTCCGATAGCCAGATTCAAAGGATTCTTCTGATAGCTCTGACTCTTTGCTGGCTGTACTACAATTGTAGTCATCTTGAGAGGCTTTGGTGAAAAGGGGAGCTGTATGAGAAATAGCACACGGTTGTGGACTCTGGGCTGTAGTTTCTTTTGGATTTTGCTGTGATGGATTTTCTGACCCAATGCTCTCTAAGGTTTTCCTCTCAGATGTGGGGATGTTTGGGCCTTTATTTTCTTGCATGTTATTTTCATTTGCCAGGAGTGCATCAAACATGTTAGCTAGTAACTCATTGTGTTCAGGGTGCTCTCTGAAAGCACCCATGCTGCTCTCACACGGCTCAAACATGGTGATCTGGTTGCCAGTTTCTTCTTGGCTCTCAGTTTCACTGTCTGTTAAACAGACACAGATTTCTATACACTCTTCAACCGGTATTGTATCAGGGGTTAAAACTGCACTGCTGCCTTTTGGCAACCACTCTTCAGACTTGCTGTGGCAACTGCAAGATTTCTCAACATTTCTGATGTTATCTTTTCTCTTGAAGTTTTGGCTTGACAAACTTCGAGCCAGACAGTTCTTGCAACTTCTGTTTTTGGAAGTCAAAAGGAAAGGACAGTTAATGTTTATGGTACAGGAAACAATTTTATGCTGTAAAGCAGAGGGATTTTTTTTTTAATCTTACTTACATTTGTTGTTCCATGTGACTCTGCTTTAAGTCCTGGAACGGGAACTTCATTTCATCAAAATAGTACAAAACTGAAAACTAATAAAGATACAAATGGGATTTAGGACACATATAAGCTGTATTTAGTATCCCTTACACTAGACAGACAATAGAATTTACTACATATTTTGCTTCTGATGATCAGGAAAAGGTATTTTTTGCAAAGCTTTTAAATTACCTTGACATTTTTTACAACCGATTGGCTCTTTGCTGGATTTGGGATTTGATCCCACCATTCTTTCTTCACTCTGCAAGGGAAGAATGAAAATAACTTGTTTTGACTGCACTTGGGCTTGATGAGTGCACATTTCTCTCTTCTTTCTCCTTTCCCTCTTAGGATCTGCATTGCAGCAACAGAAAGGGTTCATTTTGGGCATCTCCTGATTTTCATTAAACCAGAGCAAAGATGTTTGTATGTTTGGTATGTGACTGCTCTGCACAACAACAGTCACCTGTACTTCTAATCATGTTTAAAAGGATGTGAAATAGACAGGATCTCATTACCATTTAAAAATTCCACCTTACCATTTGAAAATTTTTGAAAGAAATAAAGGTATTTAGCCATCATTACTTGAACTCCAGCAAAGACCAAGGTCCAAAACTGACAACCCCCTACTATAATAAGCCTATTCTAGTAATATTAATAAGACTATTCAGAAAATGACAGTTTACAAAACTGACTTGTGTTTATAAAATCTCTGCTCACAGACAGCTAGATAAAGGTGCTCAGAAAACCCAAACATTAGATTTCTGTGCTACCAGACATTTGTCTAACCAGTAGCAATACCGATATCCGTACAAACCGTTACTCAATAAACTCTGTAACAAGCAGGATACCTACTTGGTGAAACAGAAGTAACAAATTATAGATCCTGCCATGATCAGTATGCAGGATGTGGGCACAGCCATCTGCAAAATGTCTTCAGCCTTCACCGGGTAATCTGTTAAACAAGCAAATGTGTACATGTGAATGTGCATCCAAATGCAAGCACTGACAATACCAAATTATTTGCTGCTCTTCTGCAACTCAAAAAAATTCTCTTTTAGAGAATGTAAAATAAAGCTTCTGGCTTGTTAACAACAGACCCCCACAGCTGCCAGCAGCAATGGTGTGTGGTGTGTCAGAGACCTGGCACAGGTCTGTGCCCAGCTGCTGGGGTGGCAGGAGCCAGGAGAGCCAGCGTGACCGTCAGCCCTCGGGGACAGGGGCTGTCACAGCGCCTGAAGTGGCATTGTCACTGTCACTGCAGTGCAGCTATGCTTCTTGCTCTTTCTGTTGCTCTTCAGGGGTTTTTATAAACCCTCCTACCTCCACTAAAACACTGCTTTATTTGCAGCATATATATATATATATACATATATATATACACACACACATATATACATATATATATATATATATGTAAAATTTATACTCACTTGCTCTCACATCAATTTTGCTGTTTAGTTCAAATATCTCTTCTACTTCATTAAATATTTATAGAGAATAAACAGATTCCTTTCAGCCTGTTTTTCACAAGGCTAAGCAATCCAACCTCCCTTGGTCTTCTCTTCCTGAGTTTCCCAAGGAGTTGCCTATCTATGTTTAGTGTCTTTGGAAGCCTTTACAGATGTATTCACATTACATTCAAAATGATAAAGATAATGAGTCCATAACTCTCCTCCAAGAGAGCAGCAGAGTATGTAAGACTGTATACCATCCTTTTACCAATCTGTTATTCCTGACACTATTACCATAGCGAAATTCAACTTCTTCACTCCATTCACTCCAGTAGGCGGGGTAGTACACGTAGTTACACCTGAGACTTGCAACATAATCATAGCCCCTCTTCAAGGAGCTTGCAGTAATCTCAAAGCTTTTTGCTTGGTAGTTAATTGCTTTTACAGAAACCTGAAAAGAAAGTGAGAAAGTTCACTTTGATTTCCTTATAGGGTGAAGGGCTAGAGACAGCAACTACATGTTAACAGTGTTACGTGTTTCAGTGACCTTTCACAAATGAACGACTGTTTATGATACTGCAGTTCATGTCATCAGCAGGTGGCATTTGTTACCTGCCACCATGCATGTTCTTCTGCTACCAGAAGCAGCCCAGCCCAGTAATGCTTTTTTCAGATTATTCAGAACTCACCTGCCCCACAGAGCCATCAACCTCCAGCTTCCTGATGTCTAAGGAGAAAATGAAGTTCAGGGAACAGAAGCATTGTATTTTCAATCTCTGCCCTGTCTACTGCAAGCAGCAGACCATTTTGGGGTGGCAGTCAGAAGAGTTTCAATTCTCTGACACCCAGCTGAACTATCTTGGGGGCAAAGTGAACTGTGGCAAGTGTGTAATCAGGATCACTGTGCTCTGGCTGGCCCTTACATTATTATTAATGAAGTGACTTTGTAGAGGACTTTTTAAACCTTAAAGCTCTGGAGACTGAAAATGAAGAGACTGGGTGTGTCTTACCTCTGTCGGGTGATGCTTCCTCCAGTATTTCACCTCGTAGATAACTGGTCCAGAGAGAAAAGATGGATGAGAGTAGCTCTCCTCCCAACTCAGATTGAAATTACCATTTTCAGCTTTCTCAATGGCAAGATTTTTGGGGGCTCTTGGCTTAACTGTATGTTAAAGAATACAGAACAGGGTAATGGGAGAGCACTGACAGAGAGAAGCAGAGAGAAGCATTCAGCAGAGACCAGAATATCATCGCAGTCAAGGCACAGACCCTTTTCACTGTGCTGTAGCACAAGAACAGAGAGGCCGAACCTGAGCAACTTGAGGGTATCTATTAAGCACTGATTCCTCAAGCTGGCTGAACCAATTGCAAGCACAGCCTTTTGGTGCACTGGATGCAGCTTTCAGTCTGGAGAAACAGGAACAACCTGTGCCCTGACAGTAGCAGCTGTGAGGCCGGGTGGGCACAGAGCTCCAACATCACTGCCAAGCTGTCCTGGCTCCCTGTCTCTTGAAAATCAACGTGGACTTCTGCTTATTTGGCAGATAAGCACCAGCATCAATCAAGTATTCCGAAGAGAACCAGCTCCTTGGCCTGCCTAAGGTATGAGAATGGTTTCTCTGAGTGTTTAAGGTGACAGGCGTTACCAACAAGCACACTGTTCTGACCAAACTGGGGGTCTAGGTGCAGACATGAATTGTGTCTACACTCTGTCCTGTTTAGGAGCAGTCTCTTAAACACTTTTATCACCAGCTGTTGAAATCCAACAGCAATTACTGTAAAAATCTCCTGCTCATTTAGCATGATTCAACTAGCATGAAAAATCAGAGTATGACAGAGACAGGAATGGGAAGAATTTCAGTAGGGATAACCTAGTATCCTTCTAGAAACTGAAAGTAGCATGATTCCTGTTCCTCTTGTAAGCCACAAGTACAAGGCACTAAAGATAATTTAAGTCCCCAAACTCCTTTTGGCTTGCAGCTGAGAGGGTACAGCTAGAGGAACAATCACTCTCTGCCTTCCCCATTACTTACATTAATTCCTTAAGAATCTAATCCACAATCAGGTTTCTAAAACAAATGGATTTTGCATTTAAGCTACCATGACATTTTGCACCTCTGACAAGCAAAAACTGTTCTGGGGACATGAATGAGAAGTTAGCTAGGAGGGCAAAGCCTTGAGCCAGACATGCCAGTGACAAAGGAAACAAGTTCTTACCAACAAGGGCTGGTGTAACATTGTAATTCCACGAATCAGTGCCATTGAATTGCAGGGCTAGAATATATGTGAGGCCTAATACAAAATATTCTGGATATATTGTACAAGTGCACCTTAAACTGTCTTTTTCATTCTCAGGAACACACTTGTTTCTGAAAAACAGGCACAAAACTATGTGATGTTTAAGAAAATGTGACACACTATTCCTTGAAAAGGTGAAATCAAGTTTCCCAACATGTATAACTAATCAGAACTGAGACAAGTCAGTTCCCAGAAATATTTCCAAAACAAAACTGAGATCCCCAAACAACCCACCCTCCCCAGCCACCCCCTGGATATCTGTATCACACAAATTAAAAACTTGACAGAAAGGCCAAGGATTGATCCCAAATAACAACCCTTTGTCACACTTCAGCTTCTAAAGGAACATACTAACAGCTTGTTAGTACAGGAACAGGTTTATTGCAGTGTATCAGCAAGGTTATTTGAATGTTGGTGTGGTGAAATCATGCAGCAAGGGACAGGAGAACCCAGATGCATCTTCTTGTGTAAGAGATGATGCCTGGCCCTGCTCAGAACAGGGGCAACAGTCTGTGCCTGAACAAGGGGCTACACTGTGCAGAGACAACAGTCTGTGCCTGAACAAGGGCTACACTGTGCAGAGACAACAGTCTGTGCCTGAACAAGGGCTACACTGTGCAGAGACAACAGTCTGTGCCTGAACAAGGGCTACACTGTGCAGAGACAACCACCTGGCCTTCAGTGGAAAGCAGCTTTCACACAGGCTACAGACCAGTGAATCAAGAAAGATTTCTCATGAAGAAGGTAACATTTTGCATGAAGTTAAGGTTTTGTAAACTTCTAAGTGCCCCACCACTCCTACTGTCCCCACTCCTACCTGACCCCTCCTCTGTCCTAAGAGAGCAGGAAGTTCTACAAAGGAGTAGACCACTGAACTGAGGGTGCTGTTAATGCAGAAACCCATTTTACTTAAAAGGAAAGAATCCATTTTACTTTAAGAGGAATAATCTGAAGTATTTTTTTTCCCAGACACCCACAGTAGAGGGAGGAAATTAAAGCAAATAGTGGCTATAGGATATATGAAACTCTAACAATGGCAGTGTAACATCTTATTAAACACTTACAACACAGAAGAAGTTTCCTTGCTGTAGTAGAGCACGAATTCTTTGGAGCAATTGGTTTGTGCAGGCACCTTCCAGTGACAAACCAGCTCTTTGTCATAGTCAGTGAAGCATGCAAATTCGTGTATGTGTCCTGCAGTCAGAACTAGGAGAAAGCATAAAATGAGAAGCAAGAGAATCAGAAGACTATATTGGACTAAGCAGAAATACTAACTTTTCCATCTAAACAGAGCTGCCACACCTCTACAAATTAAGTGAAAACATTTTTATTTTTTGTGTCTGGGTAAACGGAAAGAGTAACAAACACTGAGGCTGTCTCCACCTTTCTAGAGACAATGTCTACGGTCTTGGACAGGAAGAGTCTGCAGTAGTAATATTGAGATAGAAAGGCACATTTCAGCCAACAGAGACTTCCAAGCACAGAAAATCCGATTGCAATAGCTCTACTTAAAACACATCAGCATTAAATTACAAAACAGCATTAAATACAAAAGGTTCAAGACCCAAAATGCAGATAATTAACAGTCAGACCAGGTTCACTGCTTACAGTCATGACTCGTGTTTTACCTACAGCTAAGGTAAAAGGTTGGAAGCTTCCCAAATGCATGGGAGAGCATGCTCCCAGAGCAGCTCCCCAGTGCCCAGCAGATCTTCCTGCCACAGTCTTTCTTCTAACATACACCTTTACTTCATGCCACTCAGTACTGCCTGCTCTGTCTTCTACTCATCATTGTTATGAGAGCTTTCAAGACTGAGGAGAGATGAAGTCACACTCAGCCAGGCACTGAGGAGGTGCACGGAACCCCAGAGTCTGCACTCCAGTGTTCAAGTTTATAACTATTTTCACTGGAGGTATTTAACCAAAAAAGAGAATATAGTGGTCAAAATATCTTTGTTAGAACTGGAAGTGGAAATAGAATCCACAATCCTCAGTATCCCTTCCAGCCTCACTTTCCTTGATTTCAATGTGCTCCACAAGAGTGATATACAGAACAGAAGAGAAGCTAGGTGACAGTAAGGCCATGTTGTTATTTGGATTAACCCTGTGCCAACTCAATATTGATACTGGACCCTGGAATGTGATTATAAGAAAATAGCTAGAAATAGCTAATACTTTTATCATCCAAAACAATTATTTGCCTTTTCTGATGTTTGACTTCTCTTCCACAGGTAAATAATAACAGTATCTCCCTTTTCTTGCACAACCTGTACAAATATAAATCCTTTTCTGCTTTACATGTCAATCTCCTGTAAAAAAAATTAAAATACCTGTTTTTTAAAATCCTATTAATTATCTGAGAATTTCCAAAGGGATTCTGCTAGAAGGTTTTCTGTGGCAATTATACAAAACCAAATTTTGTGTACATGGCCCAGTACATTACCAACCCTCCATGCTGGTCATTTACATTGCAAATTCAAGGCTCATTTGCCAACTATTCACATGCTGCAAGGTCTTTGTCCTTCAGCCACTTCTGCTTCACAGGCTTATTCCTTCCAACAGGTATCTAAATTTCAGATTATTCCTCACACGCCTTTTTTGCTGAAAGTACCAAATTTCATTTGGTACTTCCCTACATGTCTACTTTTCTGTAGTCCACTTGTGTTATTTACTATGATCCAACTTCTGCATATTATGATACAGTACAGGATCTGCAAATGTAAAACGTGATGGCCAGATACCTTTAATTAAACTTTGATAAAGATCATTTAGGGAAATGAAAAGGTGGGATTACCTAGACCAGACAATCCCGCCAATGTGTTCTTGCAAACTTTGATCCTTCTCATTAATTCAAATTGCACTATTTCATAGTATGCAAGACAGTAGCTAATAAACCTTCTTTTTTAGAGACAGGGTACTTTAAAATGTCTTTAACTATTTTGGTTTGCTTTATAAAACAAAACAAGATCTAAGAAACCATAAACTACTGTGGAGCTAGTTAAAAAAATACAGAAAGCAAAGTGTGAGATTCATTTTCCAGAAAATAAAAATGCATTATTGAAAACCATTACTATATATACCTCATTAGTATTTTTAATCTAACATCATAACAGATACAATGAAAACAGCCCATGTTTATGGGTATGGAAAGTCAGCTTCTGCCAGCTGAGCTTCATGAAATAACTCTTAAGGAACCAGCAGCACTCGACTCAACGCACCTGCCGGCTGACAGGACGGTGGCGAGGGACACACCAGAATCCTGTCACTGTGTGCCCCGGGCAGGGCAGGGCTGGGCAGGGCAGGACAGGGCAGGGGATGGCTGGGCAGGGCGGCAGGGCTGGGCAGGGCAGGACAGGGGAGGGGAAGGCAGGGCAGGGCAGGGTTGGGCAGGGCAGGGCAGGGCTGGGCAGGGCAGGGCTGCCCCGTCCGCAGACAGGCCTGCCCCGCCTGCTCCAGCCCAGCCAAGCGTGCTTTCCAGCCAGCCTCTGCTGACCACGGAGAGCACAGACTGGCACCACTGGAGAGCACAGACTGGCAGCAGAGGAGAGCACAGACTGGCACCACTGGAGAGCACACACTGGCACCACTGGAGAGCACAGACTGGCACCACTGGAGAGCACACACTGGCACCACTGGAGAGCACACACTGGCAGCAGAGGAGGCACACACTGGCACCACTGGAGAGCACACACTGGCACCACTGGAGAGCACACACTGGCACCACTGGAGAGCACACACTGGCAGCAGCTCTGTGAGCGGCTCCCCCGCGGCCCCACGGGCAAACCACAGCAGCCAGGGACTCTGGAGCTTCCTGCAGAGCTGCCTGGGCTGCAGAGACCTGGCTCACAGTGAGGTGAACAGTGCTGGGGATACTCAGATACTGGGGAAGAAGGAGATGGCTTTCCAAACCTGTTTCTCCTTTCTGCAAATTCCTAGTTTTTCTTGTCCACATAGAAAAGGTCAATATAAAGATTAAAAAAAAAAATCTAAGATTTTTTTCTAGTACAGGGATACTTCTGACATTTGAAGTTACAAATTTTACAGTAGTTAATAAGTGGTAACAGCGTTACCTAATGTCATATAAAAATGCTATCAAGAAAAACTTCACTATAATAATTTAAAATATTGACAAACATACCTTCATTTGTTGTATATGAAAAGAAAAGGATCCACAGGGTATATGGTGTAGCACTTGGGAGCCTTGCCATTACTGACGATGGTCAGGTACAGTAGGAAAAACTGTGCTGCAATTCTGCCAACAGAAAACATAATAAGCTTACATCCCTGCCTCAGTTAAGGTAAAGGTAAAAAAACCCTACCACTCTGCTAGATGTTAGAATTCAGACTCCCTGCTGTACCTGTTTCCCACCTCTGGCCCCTAAAATTAGCTCACGGAATGAGACATGTAGAAGAATAAGGAGAACACAAATGAGCTAGAAGACTTTTTCTGCAAAATTTCCATGACAGAGGATACAGGACTGGCATTGACAGTGGAGCTGCCTCTTTAGCTACTAGAAAAGAAAGGCTGCTAGTAGGTAAAGGGTAAAAAAGGGCAAGCACTAGACCAAAATCACTGACATTGTCACCAAAGCCCTATAATTTCACTCAGATAAGTAAAAGAATTTAAGAATGAAGTGTCCAATCTATTGACTAAAATGTTTTCTCCAAGTCTTATCACCAGTGCCTTGATAATCTGAGTATCACGTCTTTAAAAAAAGAATTTTAGCAAAGAACTCTGAGCATTGCTCCAAAAGAATGCAGATTCATTAAAACATTAATTATTAAAAAGTTGTAAAACACACCTAGTCATGATATAACCAGAACAACTTTGGAGAAGGAAAATAATGCAGGTTTTATGTCCCTAAGCATAGCAAAACTGTCTAGGTAAATTGAAAACAGATGAAGTAATTAATTTCAGACTTAAAAATAGCAAGTGTCCCTAAGATTTTTTTACCAATATGGCTACTTAATGCCTAAGATAAGGCTACCAGCTTTCATATAACTATAAATGGATATCAGGCATTTCAAATTTTGGTAAATTTGTAAGTGAAGTCATGCTAACTAATATGCTTTTGGCTTTGCTTTCAGTATAAAGAGGGATAAAATTTGTTCAGCAGCACATTGTTAAGGCACAACCCTTTGGTCCCTTCCTCTCATGCTTTTGGAGTTTTATAACTTTCATATCTGGACAGAGTGTTCTTGCTGCCTGCAAGCTTCAGCTGTTCTGGTTATACCTGTAGGGCTCCCAGGTAGTATGCTAGCTTTTTGGGAAGGGAAGGGAAGGGAAGGGAAGGGAAGGGAAGGGAAGGGAAGGGAAGGGAAGGGAAGATCTCTTTCAGCAGGTGAATGGTATTGGGTGTTCTGCATAAGATTGGTCAGACTCTGAAGCAGAAAAGACCTCTGGAAGGTATTTGTGGATGGTAGTTCAATACTCTCTTCCCCAAACCAACCATGCAGCAGAACCACATTACATGTGTCTGACAGAGGTGAGTCTGTCTGTCTGATTGCAAATATCCATCTTAGAAGTTAAAGGATAAGGACATTGTTAGTCAAAATAGAAGATCAGAATGGAGACTCTTCTGTGACCTTCTCTGGGGCAGTCACTGCTCATCGAGTAATAAAGAACAAACCTGAAAGACAAATTCCTCATAAGAGCTTGACAAAACTATTACTCAAGAGTTGAGTTTTTTTCATATTCTGAGAATAGATGAAATGTGACTAAGCACAGTAATACATATTTTTAAAAAGAACACAAGCCCCTTTGCTGCTGCTCAGAAAAAAGGAGCCAACTGCTCTGGCATAAAAAAAAAAAAAATTCTTCATTTCCCTTTTTCCTGGAATTCTCAAGAGAGGAAGCATTTGCTGCTTTCCACTGTTAGGTAATACTGCCACATGACTGGAGTTCCAAGAAACTCTTGGAACTCTTAGAACTTTGGCAAAGAATCCTGAATCACGTAAGCATTTCCAAATGAGCAGATGGCAGACCAAAACCATCTTCTCGTGGAAGAATGGATCTGCACATGTGGATGAAAATGGAGTTAAGCCAGTGCTTCAATGAAACTGCAAAAGGAGAAAATTTAAAAACATCCACAGTTCTTCTGCCTGTTACCTCTTAAGTTTTTCATTATACCAGACAATAAATACCAGTCTAATTTTTTACTTTTTTAAGTATGTAACACATATAGACAATACTAAGATTGCAGCAAACCTAGTAGCTCTGATATATTTGAGGAAAGTAAATTGCAAAGACATAAGTTACTTCCCCAAAACTAGGAAAGAAATCTCTGTCAGGGTTAGAAGCAGATCTACAAGGTTACTGGCACAAGCTACATGCTTTGATCACTTACCCTTTTGTTTCTTGAAAAAAAATATGATGTGATTAGAATTATTTCATTTACTATCAAGAAAAATGGTACTAACTTTTGGTCTGGTCTTCTACGGAAATTAGGGTCACATTTCATTAACAGGTATAATCTGCAAAACTGTTATGTGCAAGAGTAGCTCTGCCCAAACCAAGAGGTCATCTTAAACAAGACTGCTTAATGCACCGTTGCTGCAATTGTACAGCTAACGCATCTTTCCCTGTTTAAAACTGCCTCTTTTTAAAACTGATGCACATCTTGTCTTACTCTCTAGTTTAAAGCGCTGACTATAAACGCTGAATAAAGTGAGACAAGCGGAACATAGCAGAGCAAAAGGTTCAGCAACAGATTCTGCATCGAACCTTGAAAAGAACACCCGTGCAGAGTTACCCGTGTGTAATGCCTTCTGACGAGAAACCTCTCCGTTCCGGGCGCTCAGCACGAACCGCTCCGGAGCCCTGCGGGCCCGCGGGCACACGGGGGGCGCGGCCGGAGCCCCGGGCGGGGCACGGCCGGGAACGGCTCCGGGCGGGAACGGCTCCGGGCGGGAACGGCTCCGACCGGGAACGGCTCCGAGCGGGCCCGCGACAGGCGCGTCCAGCAGGAACGACACTGCGGAGAATCACATCTTTTGTGTAAAATACTGTAAAAGGAGCACTCGCGTCTGACAGCCTCCAGGAGAGAGAAGCGATTCTGGCCGCGGGTTCCAGCCGGAGCCACCGCACGGGACGGGCCCCGGGATCCGCGCCCGGCCAAGCCCCGGAGGGAGCGCAGACCTTCCGTCCTTCCCGGAACCGGCACGGAGAAAAACACAGACCGCACAAACGGCACGCCAAGCGCAGGCAACGAGCAGGAGCCGGTCCTGACGCCAGGACGAAGGGGCCGCCGTACGTACCTTGTGTCCACCGGCGCCCGCTCCGGCCCCGGACGCAGCGCGGCCCCGGGCCCGGCGCCCCCGCACCCCGCCCGAGCGCCGCGCT